GTGTGTAACTGTCTGCCTGAAACTGTGTGTGTGTTTGTGTGTGACTGTCAGTCTGTAACTGTGTGTGTGTGTGTGTGTGTGTGTGACTGTCTGTCTGTAACTATGTGTGTCTGTGTGTGTGACTGTCTGTCTGTAACTGTGTGTGTGTGATTGTCTGTCTGTAACTGTGTGTGTGTGATTGTCTGTCTGTAACTATGTGTGTGTGATTGTCTGTCTGTAACTATGTGTGTGTGTGTGTGTGTGACTGTCTGTAACTGTGTGTGTGTGTGTGTGTGTGTGTGACTGTCTGTAACTATGTGTGTGTGTGACTGTAACTGTGTGTGTATGTATGTGTGTGACTGTTAGTCTGTAACTGTGTGTGTGTGTGTGACTGTCTGTCTTGTGTGTCTGTAACTGTGTGTGTGTATAACTGTCTGCCTGTAAATTTGTGTGTGTGTGTGTAACTGTGTGTGTGTGTGTGTAACTGTCTGCCTGTAACTGTGTACGTGTGTGTAACTGTCTACCTGTAACTGTGTGTGTGTGTGTGAGTGTCTGTCTTATGTGTGTCTGTAACTGTGTGTGTGTGTGTGTGTGTGTATAACTGTCTGCCTGTAAATATGTGTGTGTGTGTGTGTAACTGTCTGCCTGTAACTGTGTACATGTGTGTAACTGTCTACCTGTAACTGTGTGTGTGTGTGTGTGACTGCACGCCTGTAACTGTGTGTGTGTGACAGTCTGCCTGTGACTGTGTGATGCTGCCTGTAACTGTGTGTTACTGCCTGCATGTAACTTTGTGCGTGACTGCCTGTAACTGACTTTGTGTGTAACTGCCTGTAACTGTGTGTGTTTGTGGCTGTAACTTTGTGCGTGACTGTCTGCCTGTGACGTGTGTGACTGTATATGTGACTGTCTGTCTGTCTGTCAGTGCGTGACTGTGTGTAACTGTTTGTAACTGACTGTGTTTGTGTGTAACTCTCTACCTGTAACTGTGTGTATGACTGCCTGTGACTATATGTGTGACTGTCTGCATGTGACTGTGTGACTGCTTTGTAACTGTGTGTGACTGTCTGCCTGTAACTGTGTGTGAGGGGGTGCAGGGATTTTGTAGAGGGGGGCATTGGTTTTAAAAAGTTTACAAATTTGTTCAATATTTTTTTAAAAATCTAACACATTTTAAAAATGTAGTAGGTTTTTTTATTTTGGAGAAGGGGGGGGGGGGGGGCCAAACCCAGGACCCGCCCCGGGTGCCACATGCCCTAGGTACGCCCCTGCACAAACCTACTTACCACCACCGGACCACCAGGGATAGCTGTGTCCCCCCCCCCCACTCCTTTACCAGAGGTAAGAGGAAGGGAGGGGGGGATACAGAATTAATAAATATATATATATTTTTTAATGTACCCTTACCCCCACACACCACCCTACCCCCACACACCACCCCTACCCCCCACAAACCACACCACCCGTCCCCCCACACAGCACCCTACCCGCCCACACAAGGCACCCCCACATACATCACCCTACCCCCCATACACAGCACCCCCACACACACACTGCATCCCTCAGACACACACACTGCACCTCTTTAGACACACACACACTCCACACCCCTCAGACACACACACACACTCTGCACCCCTCAGACACACACACACTGTCTGCACCCCTCAGACAGACAGACACACACACAGCACGCCTCAGACAGACATACACACACACACAGCACCCCTCAGACAGACATAAACACACACACAGCACCCCTCAGACAGACATACACACACACAGCACCCCTCAGACATACACACACACACCGCACCCCCTCAGAGACATACACACAGCACCCCTCAGACAGACATACACACAGCAACCCTCAGACAGACAGACACACACACACACAGCACCCCTCAGACAGACACACACACAGCACCTCTCAGACACACACACACACAGCATCCCTCAGACACACAGCACTCCACACCCTTACACACAAACACATACACTGCACCCCTTAATGCAGTATGTGTGTGTGTATTCAGCAGTCTGTCTGTGTGTGTGTGTATTCATCAGTCTGTGTGTGTGTGTATTCAGCAGTCTGTGTGTGTGTGTGTGTGTGTGTATTCAGCAGTCTGTGTGTGTGTGTATTCAGCAGACTGTGTGTGTGTACTCAGCAGACTGTGTGTGTGTGTACTCAGCAGACTCTGTGTGTGTGTGTGGGTGTGTACTGATCAGACAGTGTGTGTACTGATCAGACAGTGTGTGTGTACTGATCAGACAGTGTGTGTGTGTGTACTCAGCAGTCTGTGTACTCAGCAGTCTGTCTGTATCTGTAATTAGCGGCCGGTGTGTGAACGTGTTCAGCAGTCTGTATGTATTGCATTTGAGATACTAATAAATATAAGCTTAATTTTATCTATTTATATCATTATTTAAAATTTGTATCATTGAACTCTCTGTAGTGTTCTTATTTTAAAACAAAGTTGTTAATTAGTTCTGACAACTGTACAAGTTGTTTTTTTCTAAACTTAAACCTCAGTATTCAGGTTTAATTGCCATGTTGGCACTTTAAGGGAAAAAAGTTGTCATGTATTGCGGTTTGGGCACTCGGGCTCAAAAAGGTTCGCCATCACTGTCTTAGACTAACGTCTTCAGGATGCAGGGGCACATTTCTGAGATTAAGGTCTTGAGGATTTAGAGTCAGACTTCTCTGACTCAGGCATTCTGAATGCAGGGAGCAAGACCTCCAGAAGCCAGCAAGCAGGAAAAAAAGGAGCAAGGTCTCTGACTTTTAGGATACAGATGAGGGAAACAGACACCAAACCTGAACCAAATACAGTACAATGAACTGGCCACAGTGAAGCAGTTTTATGTGTATAGACCATGCCGCCGCAGTCTCACTGCTCAATTCTCTGCCTTTTCTCTCCCTGCATGTGACTTACACAGCCCTTCTAAACATTTCTTGTATAGAGTGATCTAATGTTTAAACTTCCTTCATTGCACATTCTGTTTAATTTAGAATTTCTTATCTTCTGATAATACCCTGCAGGTGCCTCCTTAGTGTGATTAAAGTTCAGTTTATATAAAGCAGGAGATAATATCTTCTAAAGCAAGTTAACACATAATTGAAAACGAAACCATTTTTTTCATGCAGGCTGTATCAGTCACAGCCAGGGGATGTATGCCTAGGGCTACATAAACAGAAACAAAAAATGATTTAACTCCTAAATGGCAGAGAACTGAGCAGCGAGACTCCTTACCCCCTATAACTCCTGATGTTATAGTGTATAGATCACGCATGCCCAAAAAGGTAGATCCACAGAAGTTGTATTTCTACCACATCTAGCGATCTACCTTTTTGGCACCCCTGATCTATTCACTATAACATAAGGAAAACAAACCCCAAAGCCCAAAAAAACATGTGCAAGAGAATACTGAGAACAGCTCAAGATTGCCCTTCGGTGGGTCCCCGCTCAAATCTCAAGCTAGTTTTAGCTCATCTTGTGCCATTGCAAAAAGAACCTAGGCTATACACTATAACTGCTTCATTCAGCTACAGTTATCTTATTGTCCCTTTAAATAGGGAGATAATTAAAGAGAACCTGTTATTGATTTTCGACTGTTTGTGATCCTGCTTATTGTCTTGTCTAGTGTCCATATTCAATTTTATTTTTTATTAACCTTCTATGTGCCTTCATGATGTTTACACAAAATCCACACAATTGCAACAGCACTCACCCGCAAGGGTGTCAATGTGAGTCTGTGTATCTGTATGTATGACAGTGTTTGTATCTGTAGAAGTGACATTCTGTGTATCTGAATGTGTCATTCTGTTTGTCGGTGTATTAGCATGTGTCCATGCATGTATCTGTATGTGTTATATTATACAACTGGAAGGGCAGAGGGGTGGGGTTGAGAGGGAAGATGTATGTGGGGGGACCCAGAACAATTTTAGCACTGGGGCCCTGCGGTTTCTAGTTACGCCTCTGGTAGGTGCATTTTTAGTGAAAGGTCATCTTAATGCTACAGGAGGCAAAGACATTTTAGACAACTGATTGCTTTCCTCTTTGTGGTAATAGATTGGGGCATGCTGCTTCATGTCTCAGCATGATTATGTCCCTGTGTAAAAGGTGAAGTCCACAAAGATAAATTTGATGAGCTTAGTGAGAAGGAACTGGAGTGGCCCGCACAGAGCCCTGACCTCAACCCAATTGAACACCTTTGGAATTAACTAGAACGCAAACTGCAAATTTTTTTTTTTACAGATACAATAAAAAATATGGTGGAAAACTTTCCCAGACGTGCCGCGGCTATAATGACTGGGGTCCTGCTGCTAGTTAAAAAGGTGAGCCTATTTAACTTTTCTCCCTTGCAGTACTGGTCTCCGGTGTGCCGCTCCGCCTCTTTAACAGAGATCACCGGGGACGATAATCTCAGCCAATGAAATGCTTTCCCCATTACCATGCTCTTTGAGACCATCTGATTGAAATATAATTTCTGTGTTAGATACTCTATAACAGCCATTTGATGTAAGGTAATTAATTTCAGATTTAAAACGGGGAGGGAGGGGGACATGGCGCCCAGACCACTTCAGCGAGACAGAACCCGCCTGGATGCCTATAGACTCCCCTAATAATTTTCATGTTTTTTTTTTGCTTGTTCTTTTGCGGGGGTAGACGCCCCTAATAATTTTCATGGTTTTTTTTGCGGGGGTGGGGAGAGGGGCTCATACAAGCTCATCCAGCTGTGATGGTGAGATGTTCACAGGGATACATTTGGTTTATTGTATTCTGTATGGAGCCTCTGATTATTAGAAATCCACATTCACCATGTTTCCCTGGATACCTATCACTCTATGGAGGAGCAGGATGGTAAACAAGAGTCTCCCTGACATAGTTTGTAGAAATCAGAGGTCAGCAGCAGGAGGGAGTTTGATTGACTGGGTTTCCTATGGCATGTTTTACTGGCACATTCACTTCCTAATACAATGTGCTATGTCATGGCCTCTTCCCACAGCTAAGATGGCGGCTGGCGCCCTCACTGCCTGGTCAATGCCAACAGCCTCTTCCCTAAGCCAACATGGCCGCCAGCGCCTCCAGTGGGCGTCCCGGCCTCTGACGTCACGTCCGGTCGCAGTCAGGAGATGGAGGAGGTCCTGTGCTCTCTGGCAACGGGACATGGAGCAACCGCCTGCCATCGCTGACACCCACCGCAGGCACCGGTACTAACCTGTCAGCACTCCTCCTCCCACCAGGACAACATGGCTGCCCTGCTCAGGAGAGGCTGCGTGCTTAGGCCCTCATGGGCCACCAGGGCCCTTCCAGCCTGGGGCCACGGGGAGGGCATGAAGGGTAAGGAGCTGCTTGGCAATGTCTGTCTGTCTGTCTGGGTATAGTGTGTCTATCTGTCTGTATAGTGTGTCTATCTGTCTGTCTGGGTATAGTGTGCTGGCAATGTCTGTCTGTCTGGGTATAGTGTGCTGGCAATGTCTGTCTGTCTGTGTATAGTGTGCTGGCAATGTCTGTCTCTCTGTCTGTCTGTGTATAGTGTGCTGGCACTGTCTGTGTATAGTGTGCTGGCACTGTCTGTGTATAGTGTGCTGGGCTCATACAATCACAGGGCTGCTATAGGAAGACCAGACTCAGGACAGAGGGCATTGCCCATCAGATGTCACAGGGGGAGAGGGAGATTGGCCTCAGGCCTAGGACAGCCATTCATTGTCTGCCAGACAAAACTGCCCTCTGCTCAGACTGTGCCAGGGGGTACCACACTCACATTCTACCAACCAAAACAGCCTTCTGCTGAGACTGTGCCAGGGGGTACCACACTCACATTCTCATTCTGCCAACCAAAACAGCCCTCTGCTCAGACTGTGCCAGGGGATACCACACTCACATTTAGTCTGCCAACCAAAACAGCACACTGCCCAGACTGTGCCATGGGATACCACACTCACATTCAGTCTGCCAACCAAAACATCACACTGCCCAGACTGTGCCATGGGATACCACACTCACATTCAGTCTGCCAACCAAAACATCACACTGCCCAGACTGTGCCATGGGATACCACACTCACATTCAGTCTGCCAACCAAAACATCACTCTGCCCAGACTGTGCCAGGGGATACCAGGCTCACATTCACAGTCTGCCAGACAAAACAGCCCTCTGCTGAGACTGTGCCATGGGATACCACACTCACATTCACATTCTGCCAGCCAAAACAGCCCTCTGCCCAGACTGTGCCAGGGGATACCAGGTTCACAGTCTGTCAGACAAAACAGCCCTCTGCTGAGACTGTGCCAGGGGATACCACACTCACATTCTGCCAACCAAAACATCCCTCTGCTGAGACTGTGCCAGGGGATACCACACTCACATTCACAGTCTGCTCAGACTGTGCCAGGGGATACCAGACTCACATTCATTGTTTGCCAGTCAAAACAGCCCTTTGGTAGACCCATAGTGCCAGTGCACATCTGGTGCTTTACCTCTCAAGAGACTGTGCCAGGGGATACCACACTCACAGGACTGGCAAATGAAGACACATAGTGCTAGTGCTCATCTGGTGCTTTACCTCTGCTGAGACTGTGCTGGGGGGAAACACTCACAGGACTGGCAAATGAAGACACATAGTGCCAGTGCCCATTTGTTGCTTTACCTCTGCTGATCCCATGGACAGGGTAAATGGGGATCTGGTCTAGGAATTCCTTATACTGTAATTACCTTTTGTCTTAAATCCTTATTATATCCTATAGATTGTAAGTTAATGGGCTATTTAACTAAGTACTTTGTATAAATGAGCTTCAGTGGCTAGATACCTCTTTACCTTTGGTATTTGTCTATGTATTTTGTACGTTCTCCCCTAATTGTACAGCGCTGTTGAATATGTTGGCACTTTATAAATGTCTGTAATAAATAAACGTGGCTTACAGAGCTGGCATTTGGGTACCCTGAGGTCGTATGCCACCCAACATTGACTGTGTCGGGTTATAGGATTAACAGGCCACAGTATCACACTTCAGTGACGCTGCAGTTTTGAATGGCAAACTCCCCTTTATAGGGTTAAACATTCTAATCACCTTTGTGGAGAGGTATCAGTTGATCTGCACATTGGTTCCATTCATCTGGCCTAGGGGTTCTGTATGAGCTAGGTTCAAACAAGGGGAGAAGTTGATGGAGGTTACTAGTATGTGTGAGTGCAACAGTTGGATGTGGAAAGTACAATGGGACAATTCTGGAGCAAAAAGCATCCAGCTCAATGTTACTGCATTTTGATACATATTTCCCATAATGTCATCAGCCACAATATTGTAACATAATAGCATGTTCAGTGTCATGGCACTTCCAAACCATCTTGTGAATTTATTACCACTTATTTGCTGTTTCTTGCTTATTTGCTGTGTAATCTTGTATTAAATACTTGTCTTTTTAAGGAATGAGTAGTTGAAATTAACTTTGTATTGAGTTCATTTGGCTAGAATCTGGATGTGAAAAGAAGTGGCACGCGGATTCCCTTTACTAACTGTGACCTTGTGTGGAAGAGTCACACTTAAAAGGACACTCCAGTGCCAGGAAAACAATCAATTTTCCTTGCTCTGCAGGTACCCTCTCCCTCCCACCACCCATCCCATGTTGCTGAAGGGGTGAAAACCCATTCAGTGACTTACCTGAAACCCCCGCCGATGTCCCTCGGCGGTGGTTTTGAGTCTGCCCTTGCTCCTCCCCTGCCGACGTCATCCGGCAGGAAAGACTGTATGCGCGGCAGCTGGTGGGGGAGACCTAATGCGCATGCGCGGCAATGCCGCACGCGCGCATTAGACTTCTCCATAGGAAAGCATTGAAAATGTTTTCCTATGGGGAATTGAGCAACGCTGGAGGTCCTCACACAGCGTGAGGACGTCCAGCGACGCTCTAGCACAGAAAACCTGTGCTAGAAACCAGGAAGTGCCCTCTAGTGGCTGTCTAGTAGTATGCCACTAGAGGAGGAGTTAAACCTGCAAGGTAATTATTGCAGTTTATGAAAACTGCAATATTTACAGCTGCAGGGTTAAGGGTAGTGGGAGTTGGCAACCAGACCACTCCAATGGGCATAAGGATTAAGCCATTACTCCTCAATGACGTCGGAGGACGACAAGATTAGAGCAGCGCCAATGGAGTCTTGGTACTGGAAAGGTAAGCATGCGCATTAGGTCTCCCCCGCCAGCTGACGTCGGCAAGGAAGGAGTGTGGGCGGAGTCTAACCTGGGATCAGATAAGTCACTGAAGAGGTTTTAACCGATTAAGTGCTGAGGGAGGGGGGCCCTGTAGGATTCTATAGTGCCAGGAAAACAGCTTTATTTTCCTGGCATATAGAATCCCTTTAAATTCCAATGTTGTGTAGATAGTTAGGTACATACCTTTCTCACACAGTTTTCTGAATGCAAAGCTAGTAACAGGTTGAGGATGCCTGCTATAGCAGCTACCCATCTCCTTCAACAAGAAAACCTCAGACTTCACTGCATGAAAGCATCCAACAATTGACTCCCCGATCACAGCTAATTGTAGCTGTGATCGGGGAGTCAATTGTTGGATGCTTTCATGCAGTGAAGTCTGAGGTTTTCTTGTTGAAGGAGATGGGTAGCTGCTATAGCAGGTATCCTCAACCTGTTACTAGCTTTGCATTCAGAAAACTGTGTGAGAAAGGTATGTACCTAACTATCTACACAACATTGGAATTTAAAGGGATTCTATATGCCAGGAAAATAAAGCTGTTTTCCTGGCACTATAGAATCCTACAGGGCCCCCCTCCCTCAGCACTTAATCGGTTAAAACCTCTTCAGTGACTTATCTGATCCCAGGTTAGACTCCGCCCACACTCCTTCCTTGCCGACGTCAGCTGGCGGGGGAGACCTAATGCGCATGCTTACCTTTCCAGTACCAAGACTCCATTGGCGCTGCTCTAATCTTGTCGTCCTCCGACGTCATTGAGGAGTAATGGCTTAATCCTTATGTTATTAGCCCATCATTTGCTAGCTACTCTAGGGGTTGCATTTGATTGATAACCATGTTTGACTCAACAAAGAAGTGACTCAAGTGGCAATTGAGAAAAAGTGGTCTGGACTTCTAGGCACTATAACAATTTAACAATTTCATTGAGATGAAGTTGTTATAGTGCCCAGAATGTTCCTTTGAACATGTGATGCCATTGAAGTATGATCTGAAAGTAGTACATTTCGACTCCACACCTTTAGATTGTAAGCTTCTTTGGACAGGGCTCTCATTACCTTATTTTCCCGTATGTCAAACATGTTTTGTTAGAATGTAATGTTTGTCTTGCTTACCTATTGTACAGCGCTGCAGAATATGTTGGCACTATATCAATTGTAATACCTGAAGTAATTACATTTATCATCCTATCGCTGTCACTGAATAGCTTCAAAGTAGCTCTGATTTGTTAATTCTATTGATTATGGTGTGCAGCAGCAGCCAATGACAGATCCTCAGCTGTTGCAGAACTATTTCCTTGGTACTTTGCCAAGCATCATGGGAGATGAGGTACAACAAAATCTGGGGATGTATCATTTGCCACCGCTAGTGTACAGAAAAGTGTGTATTCTCCGGGCCCTTGTGGGGTTTTTTCAGGGGCACCGGTAAATGCTCTTTTTTTATTTTTTGTGTGTGTATTTTGTTTGCACAAATCAGGTGAGCTAGAAATCTATGTCAGATATGTGTTTAAAGGGACACTATAGTCACCAAAACAACTTTAGCTTAATGAAGCCATTTTGGTGTATATATCATGCACTTGCCATCTCAATTCTCGATTCTCTGCGGTTTAGGAGTTAAATCACTTTGTTTATGCAACATGGTCACACCTCCCTTTATGTGACTGGCACAGCCTTCCTAAACACTTCCTGTAAAGTCATCTAATGTTTATACTTCCTTTCTAGCAAATTATGTTTAATTTAAAAATTCTTATCCACTGCACTGTTAATAGCTTGCTAGCCCCTGCAAGAGCCTCGTGTGTGTGTGTGTGTGTTTGTGTGTTTAAAGTTAAATTTTAGGGAGCAGAAGATACAAACTTTCAAAGTAAGTTACATCTGCTTGAAAGTGAAACCATTTTTTTTTTTTTCAATCCAGCCTGTGTGAGTCACAGCCGGGGAGACTTGGCTATGGCTGCATGGACAGAAACAAGTGATTAAATTTCCTAGGCATGATCCATACACCAAAACTGCTTCATTAAAGGACCACTATAGTGCCCTGAGGGTGCACCCACCCTCAGGGTCCCACTCCCGCCTGGCTGAAGGGGGAGGAAGGGGTTAATCCCTTACCTTTTTTCCAGCGCCGGGCTCCCTCGGCACTGGGACTCTCCTCCCTCTTCTGACGTCCCTGGCTGAATGCGCATGCGCGGCAAGAGACGTGCGCGCATTCAGCCAGTCCATAGGAAAGCATTCTCAATGCTTTCCTATGGACACTGGCATCTTCTCACTATGAAAATCACAGTGAGAAGAGCGGAAGCGCCTCTAACGGCTGTCAATGAGACAGCCACTAGAGGCTGGATTAACCCACCGGTAAACATAATAGTTTCTCTGAAACTGCTATGTTTACAGCAAAAAGGGTTAAACCTTGCTGGACCTGGCACCCAGACCACTTCATTAAACTGAAGTGGTCTGGGTGCCTATAGTGGTCCTTTAATAATGGAACTAATGTTATAGCAGGCAGTGTTGCTCCAAATTGTAGCTGTGATTTCTTATCTCTTTACTATACCTCTGATCTGCTAATTTAGGCCAAACTCTAAATGGTATGTGGTGCTTTGTAGATTACTGCAATATGTAATTCATGGTGGTATTCTGTCCTTTACCTTTCTATAAAGAGCCAGTCTTTTGTTAATGAAAGGATATTGCCTGTAATTTGTGGCGTGTAATGAGTGCTTACTTAGTCTTCCTGCTTGTAAAGAAGTAATTACTGCTTTTTGTCTTGCTGTTTTATAATTAGCACAGTTTCACAGTATTAAGAGGATTTTGTTTCACTCTTAAACGGGACAGATTTTCTGGATGTTGGCAGATCAGTGTCGTCCTAGCCCTGTAGTCGAAGAAATACATGTATTAATGGTTGCTGAGCCTGCCTTTCACTCTGTTTTCCTAAGCCTGTGTCTGAGTGACCTTGAATTGATGATTACAGCTCCTTGTGGCCTGTGTGAGGTTTTGCAGGAACTCGTGCTCAAAATACAAATCTTTATTTCCTTTTTCATTGTCTTAAACTACTTGTTTTAAGAGGCTCAAAATATTTGGATAAAAGTTACGTTGTGAACAATAGCTATATAAACCACAGATTTTATTAAGTGTAATGCTTTGACCTTCGTGCTCAAGTTCTGCCTTTATAAAAGAGGCATATAGTGTCCTGGATTCATAGCTATGGACTTTCCATGGTAGTAATAGTACTTTTTAAAATGTACCCGGTACTTTCCAAGGAAGCAGACCTGCTTTAACCTTTGACTATAAAAGTGTTTCTGAGATACTAAGCGTTTATTTCTGAACTGTTGGACAGGTTATTCAAGGCCACCATGGCATACCCTGGCACTCTAGATATTATTCGATGCACCAGGTTACACAGTGCCAGCTGGCTAATTATGATTGGAAAAGGCTCTAACTACTGTAGAACTAGGTTAGCCTTTGCTTTCTTATGAGCTGTAGTGCCAAGGTAGACATCACTATCTTATCTACTTACCCATAAACATGCCATATTGTTTTGCTCACTCGAATAGCGAGAACAATAATCAGTGAAAACAGACAATTTACAAAATGGTCACTAAATTCAATTTACCAGTTTAGGGTAAATGATGTCAGGACTTTGCAGTAGCGCATTTTTATGTTGCAAAGTGACAATCCTGGAACTTAATGGCATATGTAATCACCGTGCTCAGCCTTGCCTCAGCATGATAGTAATAATTTCGCTTTCCAAAACAATATGGCATGCAAAGGGCATTCGTAAAAAACAAACAAAAAAAACAGTGCCCCTGCACCATCTCAGCATAATCTCTCAAACCGTTTTTATTACAATTTGTCACTCAGCTGGGTCACGGTAGAGCCCACAATGTTTCTAGATTTCCGGAGCTGGAAGCCAGATGTAGGTTTGTTCAGAGAGTACTCAGCTGGTGCACTCTGCTAATGAAGGCCTGCATTGGCATCCCACCTTTCCTGCTCACAAAGACCAAAAGCAGTCTCCAGGCTAGTATAATAATTTGCCAATTTTTCCATCATGTGTTTTTTTTTTTTTTTCGTCCGTTCGGTAACATATGGATATATTATTTGAATGAATGTCACACTTATTATTTATTAATTGAAACACAACCAAAAAAAAAACAGTACAATGTGCTCGTAACATTTCTTTAAAACCTTATAGATTAAGGTATGATAATCTGATAAAAATGCTCGCTTTGATAGAGATCCAGTCATAAAAGGATACTATGCATTGTTGCACACCATATTGGCTATTTTTCTTGGGTATACAGTGATGCCTTCTTTCCTGCCCCAACCTCACCTCCAAATAGTGCAGTACCGATCAGAGGAACAGTTCGAGTGTTTCAGGGTATCTCCGGTCAAGCCCTTGAGGTGTAAAACGAAACCAGGCGATCCTCAGAGGTCTTTAAGTCTGGCTGGAAAGCACAATAATCGCCCTGGGCTCCCTGTACACCTCTCCAGGGATTCTTATGCAACATTATTTTTTAAGCGCACATGGGATTTTAAAGTTTACTTTATTCATTTTTTAATTTATTTATATTTTTTTAAAAGAGAACTGTGAACAGTTCTCTCAAACTACTTATATTGGAGGTTTACAGTGTTCCAAGCAGCAGACTTTGACTTTTGTCAATCAGACATGGTATCCTGAATAGTTTGCATAAGGAACTTTGCCCAATGTCTTTGACAAGAGGTGCAGGCTGTTACTGTTCTACAGCATAATGGTTGTTGTTATAAAGTTCACTTAAATCAATGTTATGTTAATAGAAGGCAGACTTGTGAGCATTTAACAAAGCTGCATTGTGTCCCGACTGGGCTTCCTTTGATTTACTTAGAACAGGCGATTTTGTTTTGGATAATGCTGTAAATGTATGGTTCCCCTAAAATAAATGGTTTATTTGATCCTTTACAAGATTCCAGAAAAACCTCACTGAATGAGCAATGAGAAGATACATAGTCTTCCTGTTTAGTCCAAGCTTGTTGTGTTGTCTCATCTGAAAATTTTACTTCTGTACATAATGCAAAATGCTGCAAGTGCAGCCATCACCCTGAATTTGATAGAACAGCTCTTGCTAGTTGCTAGTTTTTGAGCTGTGTATTATATCCATGGCATTAGCTAGTCATGTTAATCACTGTAAGAAAACTCTTAGTGTGCTTATCCTGGTTTTAAATTTTTTTTTTTTTTTTTTTTTAAATGTATTTCTTGCACATAAAATAGTATTACTATTTGTTGTAGTTACAAACACAGTTTAGTAACCCAGACTGCGTTTTATTATATGCCTTGGTTTGTCTGGGCAACTCCTTTCTCTCTCAGCCCCCCACCCTTTTGGATTAGTCATCAAGCCACTGTTGTGCCGATACAGTGTTGGAATTTTGTGTTTGTTTTATTGTTAAATCATTGGCAGATTTAATGGAATAAAGAAAGCTGAGCTGAATTGAATAACACAAGCCACTTAAAGGACCACTATAGGCACCCAGACCACTTCAGCTTAATGAGGTGGTCTGGGTGCCTGGTCCAGCTAGGGTTAACCCTTTTTTCTATAAACATAGCAGTTTCAGTTTATGTTTATAAATGGGTTAATCCAGCCTCTAGTGACTGTCTCATTGACAGCCGCTAGAGGCGCTTGCGTGCTTCTTACTGTGAAACTATAGTGGTCCTTTAACCCTTTAAGAGGATATTCTTTTTTTTTCTAGTTTACTTTGTCCCTTCTTAATCTGATTACTGGAAGCTTTATCTGATTTTTAATTCCAAATACTGTGTGGTTGCATCCCCTTATGTTGGGCTGAAAGTTGTATTTGCTTGTTTTGGTTCTTTGATATAAAGGTCTGCCAGTGATTTGCTTATGTTGCTTGGTCTGACATTTTAAAATGGCACTGTCACCATCTGGGGACATTGCCGAATATGCAAAGACCCCCAGCAGTGACATCGCTGGGGGTCTGGTGCCCAGGGGAGGCCGATAAAGGTGAGATTTACTTACCTGATCATGTCCCTTACGGGCACTGCCATCTCCCTTCATTTGGTCCTCTTCAGCAGGAGCTGACCTCACTGCTGTACTCTTATACATCAACAGTAAACAGCACCCTATATATAGTAAGGGTATTTAGTTATAAGTAATATAAAAACAAAAATTACAAACAAAATATAGTGTAGTGAATTGTAAAGAAATGAACTGCACTCACAGAGAACAGAACAAGCTTATGGGGTATAGGCTCAGATCACTCATGTGGATGTTTACCACAGTGACACTACCCCTCTTCTGTCTTCCAACCAGAACATCTCAAAGGAAGAACAAGAACAATGCAGAAATATCTAGTGCAGTAAGTTTGTCTGTAAAATCACTAGACCAAGAAAGAGAACTGCTCACCTCAAAGGAACCCAATGGGAACACCTGACCCTATAGTATTAAAACCACCACTTGCTCTTAAATGGTAATAAAACTTTTCTTTATTTACCGTGCCGCGCTGGGCCCGCCACCGATCCGCTTCCTTGCTGACCTCATCAGAATTTCGGATTTTAGCCAATCCAAGTATTGGACGGGAGAGGAGGCAAACACCGACTTGGCCAATCAGCACCTCCTCGATGAGAAAAATTCAGCGTCTTCATGCAGAGTGTGGAGACATTGAATGGCAGTAATGCACACTGTGCAGCATAGCTCCAGGAAGCACATCCAGTGGCCATCTGAGTGGCCTCTTGAGGTGTCCTTGGGAGTCAATGTAAACCCTGCCTTTTCTCTGAAAAGGCAGTGTTTACAATTCCTGAAGGGAATGATTACTCACCAAAACAACTACATTAAGCTTGTTACTATAGTGTCCTTCCTAAACGGTTCTTTGTAAAAGCACTTGCGTGATAATAAAGGGGAACACAAACCCTTCTTTAGTGCAAATAAATTAGAATCAATAAGTCATTGGCCGATACCTTGAGACGCGTTTTGCCATCTTGCATCTTCTTCAGTCTGATATACCAGTTTCCATAAAATGTCCTTTTTCAAGTAGCCTGATTGCATGCAACCCCCATGAGTCCTCTAATCACGGCTTGTGTGGGCAAGTTCCTGGCAACTTCAAAACATAATTATGAAATCTTTCGTGAACTGGAAGTGACACGTCTGCAGTGTAGCGTCATGCCACTTCTGATTTTCTTGCATCAAGATGTGATCTTGGTAACCTATAAACAAGAAGACATGAAACATGTGTTAATCAAACGTGTTAATCAAGAACCTTCTCCATTAAGTGTATATGTTTATTTTATAACAGACCAGTACATATCTAATACTTATAAGCATTTAAAAAGTATAACTATTTTTAAATGGCTAAACAGGAATAGTCTTGAACTTTCATCAGCTAGGGTAATTCATTGTTGCTATATAAACTAGTTGAATAATAAAATCATGAAAAATGAGGGGCAGCTAAACAAGATCAGGCATAGTAAATAAAATGCTTAAACAGGGAAGTGATGTATCGGGTTTCTCTGCAGACTCCCTTCCCATTGTATACATGTTATCCTAGTTACCTGATCTTAAATATTAAACGAGAACATACTTAGAATTAAATTACACATAATGCTGTGTACTTTATGACCTAAGAAAATAAGCAGATGGTTTATAAACTGATATTTAAAGTGAACAACCTACAATGGCCAATATTCTAATGTACTATTTATAAACCAATAGGTGCAGAGAATTAAGGTGGGTGGAGGGGATAATGAAGTTTTTGTTTCTATATAACTCCGCACTAGTTACCCATACTGTTTATAGGAGTAGGTGTATTTTTATTATAGCGCTCCTCTTATCTCACTGGTGTTGGCTAAATATTGTGACCTTCCCAAGCCTGCCTTGGATGACGCATTTACTTTTAAATTAGAAGTCATTCAGTTGTGTGAGCTTCTGTTATGTTTAAAAAGCAGCTGTTTGGAAATCTTAATATATTAAACTGTTGTATCTCTGAATTACAATATATTGATCAGTAATACCTCGGCAGCTGATTGTAAATGTTTTTTTTCACCCTGCAAATATGAATACCTTCCTTCACAGTTATTTATCCAACTGATATATTTTTGTTGCAGGTAATCTTGCTGAACGCGTGTGTCTAAGTTGCACTTCTCTGCGGTTGTCACTCAACAGGTAAGAATGGGAAGTTTTACTGTAATAAATTCAACATTGAATTAGGGTAAATCTGTTGGCAGATATCATCTTTCTTGTAGTTAACTAAATTCAGCATATTGTTTTTTACAACATTTGTGCATCTTGGAACACTGCAAGCCAGCTTTATGAACACACACAGTTCTGCATGTAGTCCTTCACACTTGCAGCACACCCTCGTTATAAACCTGATCTCATTTACCTTGAATGTATTCTGGATTTCAGCAACTGAAAGATTGAAACCTGGAACCAAATGCTCAAATCCAAGAGAATTTGCCGCTGTTTGACTGCAAAGTTGTTTCAGCAGAATTTACTCTTTGATTCAAGTTGAGTTGGAGTAATTGTCCAAATCTAATATAAACTACTACATTGATAAACAATTATTAATATCATTTACATAACTACCCAAGGAAAAAGGGTTAGCTAGAATGAGTTACATTTGAACCCAATGATGACAATGCAAAAGTTTTTAGGTATTAACAATCCATGCTATGATTGATACAGGGCTCAAAATTTCAAATCTTTATTTACCATCCAGGCCTACAATTCTCCTGCCCTAACAGACGTACAAGGCTAGCAGTTGTTTAAGGTGGTTAGTGTGTTTGTGTGAGAATGGACATTAAATTAAGCATTTCCCCTTTCTATCCGGTCAGTTTATTCATTCCTTTTTGGAAGAACTTCTCCCAATTGCCTCATAGCAGGTGAGACACCGAGACCACCCATGGGTATGTTGCACATTTGACTGCGATCTAGGAGAGAAGCATTCATTTAGGGCTTAATTCTCCGGACACTTAAGGACTGGAAGCAAGTGACGAGAACCAGTGGCATCACTAGGGTTGATGTCACCTGGTGCAGGAGCTAACCCCTTGTGTGTGTGTGTGTGTGTGTTATCATCACAAAGATCCACACCAATATAACTCAGTGATGCGCAGAGTACATGAATGTATGGCAGAGCTCCTGTGTAGGGGTTGATGAGTGGGATAGATGTGTGATTGTATGACAATCTCCTGGGTTGCCTGTCAATGCCCTGCAGACCATGATGTGCTGGCTTTAGGGATGCATCTGCTGCAGCTGCTCCCGAGGGTAAGGTCACTCCATCATGAGCGAATTACTTGAGTAGAGTAAGGTCCTGCCGGGTGGTGTCACCCTCCCCGCCCCTAAAGCTTATCACCCAGGTGTGGTCTGCACCACGTTAGTGACGGCACTGCTGTATACTGTCTGTTACAAGCATGCCCCATTTCCCTGTGGCTTGTGCTGCAGTTATCCAGGAAGCCAGATGTGACATTACGGAATACTGCAGTACAAGCCACGGGGAATCGTGTTTGTAACTAAATGAATACAGCCTTATGTCTCTTTGGCTCTTGATGTTGGTAGACGTTCTATTCCTGGAGCCTCCAGAGCTTCTGCTGGCTTCCGGTGGTCACATGTGAAATGCAGCCACAGATAATTAAATATTTTTGCCTAGCCTCTCACAAAGTCTGGAAATTCTAAACCCTGATTTAAAAAAAAAAAGTAAACAAATTTATATATAAATATTATTTTGTAAATTCGTATTAAAGGACCACTATAGTGCCGGGCTGAAGTTGGAGGAAGGGGTTAAACACTTAGCTTTCTCCAGTGCCAGGCTCCCTCAGTGCTGGGGACTCTCCTCCTCCTTTGGACGTTACTGACAGAATGCGCATGCGCGGAAAGAGCCGCGCACACATTCAGTCAGTCCATAGGAAAGCATTCTCAATGCTTTCCTATGGACAGCAGCATCTTCTCACTGTGAAAATCACAGTGGGAAGCGCCTCTAGCGATTGTCAATGAGACAGCCACTAGAGGCTGGATTAACCCTAAGGTAAACATAGCAGTTTCTCTGAAACTGCTATGTTTACAGCAGGCAGGGTTAATCCTAGATGGACCTGGCACCCAGACCACTTCATTGCCTATAGCGGTCCTTTAAAGTGATATGTTAAATCCTTTGCTTATTGGCTGCTTGTGCTGTCAGTGGTTAAATACAGCAGAGCTCTGTAATGCTGGTGAATTTATTTTACAAATTTGCCTTTTACAAGGTTTTGTTCTGCCTTAATTTGGATGCAATTTTGTGTCTGACGAATTTGTAAATCCTACATTTATCATGTGTGACTTTACTTTATATAAAGTAACTTAATTTTCTTCCAATATGATAATGTAAGTATTTTTTCCTCTGTACACCTTGTATATAATCCATATTTTTCTTTGTTTAGAAACTTTGAAAGTTATTGCACTGCAACCCATTCTGTTTACATTTCCTCAAGGAGAGGGAATAATGGGTTTTCACGGACAAGCCGGTCTGATAGAACATATTTTAATAACTCACCGGCGACCTGGATCACCGTCACTCGCCCTGCTAATGTGGGACCACATTACTGTGCAGTGCGAGGCTTGCACTCCTCTCGACCCCTGCTCGATGACTCCGTGGTGGAAAAATCATTGAAGTCCTTGAAGGATAAAAATAAAGTGCTGGAAGAAGGAGGTCCTGTATATAGTCCACCATCTGTAGAAACTGTTAAGAAGTCTATCGGACAGAAAGTAATGGATGAGGTAAAACACTACTACCACGGCTTTCGACTGCTGTGGATTGATACCAAAATAGCAGCTAGGATGATGTGGCAGATCCTCAATGGACATATCTTGTCTCGGAGAGAAAGGAGACAGGTAAGCTGAAATCATTGCAATCTATATAAATCCTAATTTCCAAGTAGTAGGAGAAACTGAGTTAAGAGAACAAAGATGTCACCTGCAGTCTTCCTAGAAAACCATTTGAAAGCTTGTGAAAATCACATACTGGTTAAGTGTGAATACCATGCATATGTTGTACATACGAGATTATGCTAAGTTTTTAATTTGACATCACAGTACATGTAGGGACGGGATGTTGCTGATTTTTAGGTGAAATGAGACCTGGACAGGGGAGCTCCTTGCATACCCTGGAGCATAAGTGATTATGGAGTTTGGAGTATATCAGTTGACCCCTCCTATACAGACTATCCATACATGGCAGTTTTCAAACATGTGCAGTTTGATTTTGCAAATCAAGTTTGTAACATTTCACTGTAGGTTCACTGTAAAAGAGACGTCTTTATACTTTTCTCTGGTTTTTACTCCAGGGTTTAACATTTGCAGTCCAAACCTTAAAAGTTACACCCATCGCAAGCAATAGAATGCTCAACAAGGCTTTGCTCCTACTTACCAAGTTACATTTTTGCTTGCCAGTGACTAGTGGTGAGGGGAGATTTTAAGCCCTGTTTATTCTATATTTAATGTTTGATTTCTATATTTTTTTTCATTTCAGTTTCTGAGGATATGCGCTGACCTCTTCCGCCTGGTACCCTTCCTGGTTTTCATTGTCGTTCCTTTTATGGAGTTCTTGCTTCCAGTTGTACTGAAATTATTCCCAAATATGCTGCCATCTACATTTGAAACAGTTTCAAAGAAGGTAAAAGCATCTCCTGCCTCCTAGCTGCAGTGTTTGCACGACAGTCATTCCACTTATTGTTTGACTTTCCCAGATGCCCTGATCCCCCTGAAAGAAAACTGTTTGTATTAATAAAAGAGGGACCTCCACCTGGCCAATACAAAGAACATATAGCGTCTCAGTGGCACTCCCATCCAGTGATGGCTGTGCATGTTGTAAATATGGCTCTCCACTCAGTTGTAATGCATTTTAATTGTGTTCTCGTGTATGTATGCAAAACCCATTAGCTATTTTATTGTGTATTTGTAATTTGTTTTTGTTTTAAACCTTTATTACATTCTGAAGTGATGCATCCAATATCAAAATGTTAACCGTGCATAGTAGTGTTGAGTATCACTAATATCCTGTCACTACATAGATTAGCTTCATGTCAGTCTCACTTCTGCTTTCCTAGGGTGCTATATGTCATGGTGCTCAAGTTTGGGGTGGGGGGGGCTACCTGAATGTAAACACTGAGTAAGACCGCAGTCTAGATCAGAATATAATTGTATTGTAACTCTTTCTTTGTCTCACATCATAGCTATGTAACATCACTGCTCGTTCTGGAATTAAGTTTTTCTTTTTGATTGATAATTTTTAATTTGTTCATGCAGAAAGTAATTGTATACTTATCAGATCAGCAGAATATTAATTGACTTAATCCTTTACAGGAGGAGAGGTTGAAGAAAGAGCTGAGGGTAAAACTGGAAGTGGCCAAATTTTTGCAAGATACAATAGAAGAAATCGCATTAAAAAACAAAGCAGCCAAGGGAGACGTTACCAATGAGTTTGCTACATTCTTTCAAAAGGTAACACATGACTTGGGAATAATCAAAACCTTATACTAAAGAATAGTTGACAGGGGAAGTTTATGAAGGTTTTTTTTTAAATTTTTTAATTTTATTTTAATTAAAAGAAAACTAGTGTCAGAAATACAAATGTGTATTCCTGATGTTATAGGTGTTAAACCTATTTAGCCCTCCGGTTATAAAGGTGATTTGCCCACCTTTTTCCAGCTCTGCCCAGCTCCATTCAAATATGCCAAGGACTTTCTTGTCTCCGCCCCCCCTTCTGGCATCAATTGTGATGTCTCCGTGTTTCGTCTACGGCTTCATCAGAACGTTATTGGTAATACACACCGTCTTTGATCATGGTGCTTAAGGGCAAAACAGTTCTGTCTACGTGAGGTCCTTCCACAAGTCCCAAATTTACATATTAACTCCTCATGTCCAAGATCCAATTAGTCAATGTTACACAGGAGTATTTAACCCCTTGGGTGGGCGAAGACCAGAAAGTCCGTGACATATTTAATTGCTAATAGGATCGTTCCGGAGACGGAGCTGCAAGGGGGGGAGATGCTGTTAGCGAGACTGAATTAACATCTCCTACTGACAAAACTTTGTGAGTAGCGGCGGATGTGCTGCACATTATTTTTATCCAGTAAGGGGCAGTCATTCTTATCCCCCTGTTTTGTGTTATATATTAATGTATGTTCTGTGTGGTTTTTTTTAAACTTAATTGTTAATAAATCTTGTGAGACTCGTCATGTTTATATGTTATATTGTTATATGACAGGATTATACTATTGCCGGGTTTTTAAAAAAAAAAAAAAAAATTTTTTATATGCATATAAATTTCTTCAACTTGGAGTAAAAATATCAACATATGTATACACTTTTCTAATTTTTTATATCTATTTTAGAGTGTACTCTACTTTTTAGCGCGCCACTTTATATACACTTTTAACTGATTGTGTGTTTTTGGGTTTTCTAATCCTAAATGGCGCATTAGTGTGTAGCTGCTTATGTATATATCTTTTTTACAAAATTCAATCTAATTTTATTTTCTTCCTGTATCGTCATTTAAACCCCCCATTTTTTAATAACCCTTTTATATACACTGTTCAAAAAAATAAAGGGAACACTTAAACACAGTGTAACTCTAAGTCAATCACACTTCTGTGAAATCAAACTATCCACTTAGGAAGCAACACTGAGTGACAATCAATTTCACATGCTGTTGTGCAAATGGGATAGACAACAGGTGGAAATTATAGGAAATTAGCAAGACAGCCCCAATGAAGGAGTGGTTCTGCAGGTGGTGACCACAGACCACTTCTCAGTTCCTATGCTTCCTGGCTGATGTTTTGGTCACTTTTGAATGCTGGCGGTGTTTTCACTCTAGTAGTAGCATGATACGGAGTCTACAACCCACACAAGTGGCTCAGGTAGTGCAGCTCATCCAGGATGGCACATCAATGCGAGCTGTGGCAAGAAGGTTTGCTGTGTCTATCCGCGTAGTGTCCAGAGCACGGAGGCACTATCAGGAGGCCGTAGGAGGGCAACAACCCAGCAGCAGGACCGCTACCTCCGCCTTTGTGCAAGCAGGAACAGTAGTAGCACTGCCAGAGCCCTGCAAAATGACCTCCAGCAGGCCACAAATGTGCATGTGTCTGCTCAAACAGTCAGAAACAGACTCTATGAGGGCCCGACGTCCACAGGTGGGGGTTGTGCTTACAGCCCAACACCGTGCAGGACGTTTGGCATTTGCCAGAGAACACCAAGATTGGCAAATTCGCCACTGGTGCACTGTGCTCTTCACAGATGAAGCACTGAGCACGTGACAGAGTCTGGAGATGCTGTGGAGAACGTTCTGCTTCCTGCAACATCCTTCAGTATGACCGGTTTGGCAGTCGGTGAGTAATGGTGTGGGGTGGCATTTCTTTGGGGGCCCGCACAGTCCTCCATGTGCTCGCCAGAGGTAGCCTGACTGCCATTGGGTACCGAGATGAGATCCTCAGACCCCTTGTGAGACCATATGCTGGTGCGGTTGGCCCTGGGTTCCTCCTAATGCAAGACAATGCTAGACTTCATGTGGCTGGAGTGTGTCAGCAGTTCCTGCAAGACGAAGGCATTGATGCTATGGACTGGCCCGCCCGTGCCCCAGACCTGAATCCAATTCAGCACATCTGGGACATCATGTCTCGCTCCATCCACCAACGTGTTGCACCACAGACTGTCCAGGAGTTGGCAGATGCTTTAGTCCAAGTCTGGGAGGAGATCCCTCAGGAGACCATCCGCCACCTCATCAGGAGCATGCACAGGCATTGCAGGGAGGCCATACAGGCACGTGGAGGCCACACACTCTACTGAGCCTCATTTTAACTTGTTTTAAGGACATTACATCAAAGTTGGATCAGTCTGTAGTGTGTTTTTCCACTTTAATTTTGAGTGTGACTCCAAATCCAGACCTCCATGGGTTGAAAAATGTGATTTCCATTTTTTTGGGGGGATTTTTGTGGGATTTTGTTGTCAGCACATTCAACTATGTAAAGAACAAAGTATTTCAGAAGACTATTTAATTCATTCAGATCTAGGATGTGTTGTTTTTGTGTTCCCTTTATTTTTTTGAGCAGTGTATGTGTGTGTGTGTGTGTGTGTGTATATATAATATCTGTATTATTTTCATGTCTACAGAGCTAGATAAAAAGTATAATTAATATAAATATATATATATATATATATATATATATATATATATATATATATATATATATATATATAATACTTTTTATCTAGCTCTGTAGACATGAAAATAATACAGAATTCCTTTTTTTGCATTTGTGAAGATCAGGAGCTCCGGAGAGAGACCAAGCAATGAGGAGATTGTCCGATTCTCCAAGTTATTTGAAGACGAGTTGACCCTCGACAATCTAACTAGGCCACAGCTTGTGGCTCTTTGCAAACTTCTGGAACTTCAATCAATCGGAACAAACAACTTTCTACGCTTCCAGCTCACCATGAAGCTGCGATCCATTAAAGCCGATGACAAGGTAAACAGATTTGATATTGGATTTTTTTTTGTTTATAATATAGAGATTAGAAGGTACACAAGCATAAAGGAAATCCAAGTGCCACCAAGCAAGATCGGCTTTGCTCCACAAAACAGACACAAAGACCAGGCACAAATTAGATCTAAACCAAGATTGATTTATTGAGATATAAAGTACAACATTTTGACTTCTAAGTTAGACAGAGGTTCTTTATACCTCAATAAATCTGCCTGGGATTGTGCCCACTCTTTCATCTTTTTGTTTAGAAACCTGCAAACACATTTCTCTGCTCTGTACAGTATCCAGTAGTAGTTTCTGATCTCACATTGTGGGAATGAAGAGACTGTTTTAGAATTAAGACGCCGCCATAGCCCAAGCCTGCTGTGGCCCACGGCCTGCCGTAGCCTGAGCCTGTGGTGCTCTTCTCAATTCCATCAAAATTCTCCTTGGATCAACATTTGTTAACACTGTGTGTTTGAATTTCACTGAAACCAGAAGCATTTATTGTGATGCACAGATATTAATGAAAACATAATTCTTAATAAAAAAAAATGTAATTCACCTTCACCTATCCCAGGTATATAACAGGCAGCTGGTATTTTGCTTTCCCACACCTCCTTAAATAAATCCTGATTGGTTGTCTCAAATGTTATACTAATATTATTTTTCTTTAAACCGTAGCTCATTGCCGAAGAAGGAGTAGACAGCCTGAATGTAAAAGAACTACAAGCAGCCTGTCGTGCAAGGGGAATGAGAGCGCTCGGCGTCACAGAGGAACGGTTGAGAGACCAGCTTAAGCAGGTTAGTGTTTTTTTTTTTTTTTAGTTTTTTTTTCTGAAATGATCTTGCGTTCTGAGTATTTCTCTCAGTGGTTATATTACTAAGCCAAAATGTATTGTTGGTTTACAACAGAGCTGGAAAATGCAGGATACAGCTCTGCTTTTTCTCTAATCACGGTTTATTGTAAAAAAAATAAAAAAAAATAAAAAATTCCCCAGTAAGAGGATCTATAAAGGGGCTAAACAAAGGATGCAAGTACAGGAATTGTTGTACTTCCACTGCTCGGGGGGGGGGCTACCTTTTGGCCATCCCTGGGTTAACTGTCATTATCGTTTTTTATGATCTCTAGCCATTATTGAGAAGTTTCAAGCTGAAATGTTAAAGTGTCCCCAAATAGCAACAAAATGATTAACCACAATTGTATAATGTGTGTGGGTTGTGTGTTTTGTTAGATTTCTTTTCTTTTCTTTTTATCCTATTTGTTTTAGCAACCTTATGCAGGGTACCATCCACATACTACCAGTAATTCGGTATAAAGATTGGATTGGACACCTCTTAAGTTTGAAACTGCCCTTTATTGGTGACATCATGACCCGATGCCAGTTTTGGCTTAGTAGTTCCGTAGAACATACAATCAATAGTAATGACCGGACAAAACAAGTTAATAGAACACTATCGTTTTATAAATATTTGTAATGCGGGATTGTTGTGGAGTCTTGTGGGCCTGCTTCTCTTCCCCAATGCCTGTGTTAAAAAAAAAGGGGGGTTAACTTGCCTCAAATCCTGCATGTACTTTAGGAATGTTCCTTAAAACAACAGTTCTATTATTATAATTCTATTATTAGACAAGTTATTACTGTTAACCCCCTCCTCCAATTCTGAAGCTTGTCCGTTGCTGCAAGACCTGGCTACTGTCAGACTTCTCACGTGTGAGGCACTACAGCCCGAGGCAGCCATTTGCTGTAGGCACCAAAACAATTTGTGCATTGCGAATCTGAAGATGTAAGTCAGTCAAAGCATGTGTCTGCAACTGCTGGATGTCTCAAGGATGAGTCATCCAGCAATAGTGCTGCAGTGCCTGCCCTGGCATTGGATCACTGTGACAAGCTGATGAAAACCATTAACATACGTTTTTTTCTAGAACTGTTTTTAGTGTAAAAGCTTAGAGCAGTTATTGCCAAAAAGTAGCTCTTTAGATGTTGTGGAATTACATATCACATGATGCTTTGACTGTACGTTCTTGTAAACCTGACAAATGTTACAAAGCAATAACTTTTTCCTTCATTGTTCTAGTGGTTGGAACTACACTTGAATCAGGAAATTCCTACATCATTACTCCTTTTGTCCAGAGCTTTGTATCTCCCGGACACACTGTCACCAGCTGATCAGCTCAAAACAACCCTGCAGACTTTGCCCGAAAGCATGGTATATACATCAGCTCTATCCTGGCTGTTCTTCATTTAAATGAATGCATAGAATATGTATTGTGGTAGTCATTAGGCCTGAACATACATAGCACACATGACAGCGATATCTGTTTCAGTGAGTGAAAATAAGATCCTCGGAATACTGTACTAACGCAAGAGAGGTTTGCTATTGTTAGTGATCTTTTAGCTATACGTTATCCTGTATTTTAAATCACTTTTAACGGTTATTTGCTAATTTTAGGTAAAACTGGAAACATTCTCTGAGTCAGCTATGCTTCCAGTGCGGTTACTCTAGCTTTAAATTTGAAATTAATTTTGATTTCTCAGTTTACTAATTAATCCTGGTTTTGTCTACAACATTTATTCAAGAACATATGATTATGTTAAGGCAAATATTTTGCTGACCGCATATGATTTAAACAAACAAAAAACAACAAAAACCTCTTGAGCCCCTCCAGCCGTGCTTAGAGTAATTAGGTAGCTTGGCTAGGGCATTAGATAATTGACATGGGTGAGATGAGGATTTGGCGACCTGTGACAGATTAACAAAGGTAAGGGTGTTGGCTAGACCAAGATATGTTTGTAAAGCTGAACATGTTATGACACATGATGGCAAGTTTACAGGCTGGTGATATGAGGAAGAACGGTGTGTTGAAGACTGAGCGCTGTCTGAAAGATGAGACCAAGAGTGTTGCCATTCTTATTGCTTAGATGATCTATTTAACTCCTTCATGACTACTCTTATGCCATTCTTTACCTGCCAAGTCACTTGTCATGAAAGAGTTAACAGTTCCTCTTCTTCAGTATGGCAGACTTGGTGTAAATCGACCTATCATGCACAGACTGTGTGGATAATTGAGATCCTTGGATGCTTGGATAACGTCTGCTTTGTTTGTGGCTGCACAGGAGACATCACTGGATGCAAGAAGTGACATTGTAGTGAATGTACAAAGACCCACTGCTATTGTGTTTTTATACCCCACCCCCTGTAGATTGTAAGCTCCTTGGAACAGGTTCCTCACAAACTGCTTGTTCCTGTCACCATTTGTAATATTTTATCATTTTGTTGTTAAATCCTCTCTTTGCATTATTATATTGCACTCTTGAATAAGTTGTCCCTGTATAAATGTGACTAAGTTATTAGGTATGGATTGACTGCTTCATTAGTAATTTGCTCATAGAACGTTGGTTATATCAGGTTTATAGAAGGAACATATACCAAAATTATGCTGTATAATATTGGGTGATTCAGATTGCTTATAGTTTTTTTTTTTTTGCTTAGTTTTTTCTCCCTGACATGACCTTTCAGCAAGTTCTGCAAGTGCAGCATGTTCTAGTTTACCATCCTATGAGTTTAGGTTATTTAATATGTGTTGCTTTCTCTCCTTCCTTATCGTGATGTGCTTTGTGGCTGTATGATCACCATGCAGCTGTGTGATCTTTCTAATAACGTTGTAATCCTGTTTCTCAGGCCAAGGAAGCGCAGGTTAAAGTAGCTGCTGTTGAGTGTGAGAAAGTGGACAATAAAACCAAACTCGAAGCAACCCTTCAAGAGGAGGAGGCGATCAGGAAAGAAAACCAGGAGAAGGAAATGGAGAGATTGGCAGAGGCTGCCAAAGAAAGCTTGCAGGCTGCAGCCAAGGTAATTGTATTCTTCTTGTCTGTTTGACCAGAACCCTTCTATGTTGAATTATTAAATTTAACTATTACCAATGCAGTATAGCTCTCCCTCTCCTTTCCCCTTGTCCCCCAATCCCCCAATAAATACAATAATTCTTTTAAAGCAGTGCAGGTTCCACATAGCTTTCACATACAACTTACAAGTCTTGCATCATAAATGTGTGATTTTAAAGGGTTATTCTAAGAACTTTGCATAAAATGTAACATGCCTACAAGGGAAGCAAATTATTTTGCCTCTTTTTTGTTTCAGGAAGTGTGTAGATAGGCTGTTGAAGTCTCAGCCAGGAGAGGAGTGGCTAGGGCTGCATAAACAAAGTGATTAAACATAAATAACAGAGAATTGGGCAGTGAGATGGTAGGCACATGAGCTATACCATTCTATATCATTTAAAAATCGTAACGTTTTATTTTTGCGCTTTTATCCCTTTAAACACAGCCTGGTTCACTAAACCAATCTTAATATTGTCGACTAATAATTTTAGTCTGTTTTTTTAGTCGACTAAAACAATTCAGATGACTAAAATATGGCATTTTAGTCAAAAGACTGACTAAAACTAAACTGAAATTTGCTGTCAAAATTAACACTGCACAGAGGGGCTGTGGAAGGGGCAAAAGAGACAGAGGCTCTAACTTAACCCACTAGAATTTAGTTGTTGACTAAAATCTACTGGAGATTTTGTCAAGAGTATGACTAAAACTAAATTTTCCGCCAAAAATTAGCACTGCACTAAACCGTAAACTAAGATGTATAAACTGATAGCAGCTGCAGTCTGGCTATTATCAGTTTAAACAGAAGTCCCAATCATCCTGTTTGACTAAAACTGCTCTTTAAATAGATAAACTTATTATCTGTTAATCCCATGCAGGACAGAGAATTATGGGATATTATCTGTCCACATATACGAGAATGAGGCACTGCTGATTGGAGCTTCTCAGCTGGGTGTGAGAGTGGACCGCTTGCTACTGCATTGTTCTATGACGGTTATAAAAAGCATAAAAAATTATGTAATATTTTGCATAAGCCAACCCTTTAAACCCAAACTAAACACTGATGCTGTATTTAGCCAGGAATTTAAAATCTTTCCATTAGAGAGATGTGAAAAGTGTGTTTACCTTACTCTGTTTACTGTAAGTAAGGCGCCATTTTTTTTGTGTTTATGGGAAGTCTCACAAAGAAAATTTCTTCTTGCCATGTGCCGCATAAAATAAACTTTCCTACCTTTTCCAAGACATTTATATTCCTAAATATTTATCTAAATAAAAATAAAGGAACCTGAAAACATAATTTAAAGGGATGGCCCCGTCCCCGATCCGCCTCCTTGTCTGACATCTTCAGAATTAAAAATCCTAGCCAATACGGTGGTTTCCCATAGGGAAAGCATTGAATTGGCTGAGATTGTCAAGGAGGCAGGGCCAAATGCCGGCTTGGCGAATCAGTATCTCTTCATAAAGATGCATTCAATCAGTACATCTCTGTGAGAAATGTTCAGTGTCTTCACATTTAGTGGAAACACTAAATGTCAGTCCTGCACGCTGTGCAGCACTGCCTCAGGAAGCACCTCTATAAGCCACCTGAGGAGCAGCCAGTGGAGGTATTCCTAGGGAGCAATGTAAACACTGCCATTTTCTCTGAAGGCAGTGCTTACAGCAAATAGACCTTTAATCAGTAGTTGTTCTGGTGACTATAGTGTTCATTTAAAGCTCTTTAGTAAACATGTATCCAATATACTGTACTTGAATGTCACACACTGTGCATCTGCTGACCTTCATGCTATTTGTGACTGTGTTATGCAAGATGTTTTAATTAAGACAGATGTAACCTTTCTTGCCTGACTTGGATTTTAATTTTGGCAGAGTGTCTGAGGTAATCTTTTTCTTTACACAATCCTCTTGGAAATTCTTTGCTAACCCCTTTAGTCTCCTTGAATGACTTGGAAAGGATGTAAGCAGTTGTAAGGCACTCGGCAAAGTTAAAAATTGATTTTTTTTAAATTGTATTTCTAAAAGTGTTATGTTAGATATTCTATACAGAAAGATGTATGCAAATTCAATAACTGGAATGTGAATGTCTGACTGAAACCAGATGGATGCGATAGGCACACTTTATGTGGCTGGGTGCATGATCATAAGGTCCATCAGAATTTAAAAATTAAATAAGGAAAAAGCTGCAACACCAGGCTTCTGTGGATGGGTTTCATTTCACCCAAGGTGGAACCAGCAATGTTAAACCTGTGGCAATCTTTGTTGAGCCTGTCTGCTTTGATGGAAACAGGATTGTGCCTTGGTCTAATGTATCATTGGAATCAAGATCAGTGGTTTTAATGCTGCAGTGTAAAATAAAACCGTGCAGTAATTACATTGCTGGGAAAGAATATACACTGATTCATCTGAATGTTGTGGGAATTATGGGGAAATTACTTTGAAGAGATCTAGAGATGTCAGACAGAAAAGGTTTGTGTGTTTGAAGGAACATTCTTAATGTAATGTTTTTTTGTTGCAAGGACCCTGCTCTTTTTCTCAGGCAGTGTTAAACATTGCCATTTCTGAGAGATCAAAAATACATGTCTAGGGGCTGCCAGACAGTGGTTGTAGGTGCTTCCTTTAAGATCTTTGCGTTACACATTTGGTTTAGCTTCACTGCTCATGCTTGCCATTTGTTAGGACACAAATTGTAGAACTAATAAAAGATCGATTTGAAAGACAGCCACAGAGGTTCATAGATACAAAGTTAGGTAAGGCTGATATTCAGTTTAAAGTTATAATTTCCAAAGCTTCTGGTCCCAAATGTGCTCTACTCACATTGACTATGAACAGCATAATGTATGTATCTTTCAGGTGGGTGTCCAACTACACCTCTGGACAATATTTAACTAGTTTTAGATACATTTTAGTAGTTTTGCAGCACAACGTTTGAAGAAAACACCATAAATACTGTATTTTCTGGCGTATAAGATGACTTTTTAACCCTGGAAAATCTTCTCCAAAGTCGGGGGTCGTCTTATACGCCGGGTATAGGGTCTATATGGCTGCCGGGGGTGCTCACTTCCTTTCAGTCCGGCCGGGAACAGGTAACTGAATCTCCTGTACCGCGCGGTACCCGGACTGACTGACAGGACGAAGAGGAGCTCGGCCACCCAATCTGCACAGGGAAGGGGAGGTGAGAAGAATGTAGGGAGGATTGGGGGGGGGGAGTAAAAAGAATATATCGCAATTAGCCTCCTGTGTGCTAGACCAGCAGGCATGGATTATATGCCCAAACAGCCTGGCACATACCTGGGCTTTAAATGCTATTTCAGATTATCATTATTTAATGTCTTGCTGTGTAGCTCTGTCTGCTCACTGTACATCATGGCTATTTTTTATTTGGTGTGCATTGGAAGAGGGGTAGTCTTATACGGCGAGTATATCCCAAACTCTATATTTTAACTGGAAAAGTTGGGGGTCGTCTTATACGCCCAGTCGTCTTATACGCCGGAAAATACAGTAAATCACTGGAGTAATGAATATTGTTTTATTTTCATTGTGAAAAACTGTTTTATAGAACAAGAAGATTCACAAGTTTATTTGTGAATTGTTTACAGTTACAATTTGGACTTTTTTCTTTCCTACCTGTAGACCCCTTTGGAGCTGCAGCGTTGCTGTTACAATTTGTCAATATTTTTTCTTGTAGTTGCACTCTGATGTTGTACATAAAATATAACACACACTTGCTTTTGGTGATGACTGAGATGTGAATTTGTAATATAACTCTTTCAATCAGGTGGAAATGCAGTCTGCCTCTGAAGCAGACCTGAAGATAAGTTCAGTAAGTGAATCGGAAGCCATTCCAGTGAAAGAGATTGAGGATCCTGAGCTATTGAAAGATACAGCACCCGTGTTGGACGCCAATAAGGTACGCACAATATTTACACAAGTGTGTGCTTTATGCGAGATAATGTTGCAGATTAAATAAGAGGGAATTGAGAGCACATCTATAACATTGTCACTCTGGCTGCACCAGTGCTGAGAAAATATTTATACAACATACAGATTAAGGCACAGCGCACACACACAAATAGTCTTACATTTTACAAGGCTACTTAAAATTGCCTATCTCCCTAAATAAATATGGAGATTCAGTTCCACCATATGGCCATATTTTGTTAAGCCCACCACCCCACCCATCTGTTTCCGATGCCCCTTTGGATGAAAGTATAAATTTGAGGAGGTTTTGTGTAGCAAGGTCACTTTATTAATAATATTTTTTATTTTGTTATAGAGCAGATATTATATGCATTGTAAGTACAGACAGTCCCCACTTACCCACCGGGTTCCGTTCTTAAGACTCTGTGGTAAAACTAATTGGTTGGTAAGTGAGGATGTGTTAGAGAGACCTGCTAAAGAGCAGGTCTAAGTTCAGGGGAATTCCCTTCAAGCATAGAACAGTTCACTAAGGCAGGGAGTCCTGCGAGTCTATGTTCCGGGAAAATTCCCCAAACATAGACCAGCTCTCTAACATGGGGAATCCCTCGAATCCCCACGCTAGAGAGCCGGTTGTAAGTCTGAGCCATCATAAAGCAGGTCAGACGCAAAGTGAGGACCACCTGTATATACATAAAAGCACTATCACTTTGATTTAGTTATGACCCTGTATTTTTAAATTGTATTTTTTTTAAAGCACATTTTTCATTGTATCATAATGTCAAGGTCTTCTATTGTAATAAATAGGAGATGAATGTGGTAACATTTAGTGCTAATCTTTACAACTCCAATATCAAATACTGATCATTTAAAGGATTTATGTTGGCACCCAGACCAATTCATCTCAATGAAGTGGTGTGGGTGCAATTTTTCCCTCTAGTTTTAACCCAGGCTTGAGTGTCACGCTGACAACTTCTTAGAGGCCCTTCCAACAGAATTGTCATGTAAAACTCTATTTTAATCTGATGTCTCCTAGAGGCCATATGATTGGCGCAAAGTCACATATAACTGTGCATGTGCACATGCCTCGCAGTGCTCTGCTATGGCAAAACATTGGCTGGGATCAGTGATCTCTATAATTTTGGCTAATGAAGCATGCCAGAAGGACAGAGACCAGTGTGGCGGGGGCTGAAAGGCAAGTAAAACTCACCTTTGGACTTCACATGACAGGGGTACATTAGCACAGTTAGATAAAAACTACAGCGTTAGGGAAACCTGTTTGCATTCCTGATACTATAGTGTTACTTTAACTGTCAATATATGACATACCTTGGTGATAATCTTTTATTTAAATATAAATTAGTAAAAAAAATAATAAAAATGGCACAACAGCAGCACTCTTAGTGCTATGGAATTTTCCATGACTTTTAGTTGACAAATCCTTAAGAACGGTTTATGGTTTCCATCTTAACACTATTAATGTCATACATTGTAATTTCCTTATTCTAATAAGGTCTGCCGAAAATAATAAAATATACTGTATGGATTCTTTCAGGTAAAGGGATATTTGATTCAATTTCATGTTATTTTACAGGTTGAAGAGATCACAAAGGAAGAAATTGACATATTAAGCGATGCTTGCATTAAACTCAAAGAACAGAAAAAGTTGCTAACAAAGGAAAAAGAGGAGCTTTCTGAATTGAAGGACGACGTTCAGGAGTATTGCGAGGTATGCTAGTAATAGGCCGTTTAACATCCGTCCACATGGAACCTTTTACAATGAAAGAGGCAATGCAAGTTTACTACTACTCCAATATAGTTTTCTTTTCCAGTGTTTGGGTTGGCAAAGCATTGTGGGAGTAGGGATTCTGCACCAGGAAGGGGTTCTAACAGTGTAAAAAACAGCTCTGTCTTCTCTCTTATAAACGAAGTGCCGTTGCATTTTAGGTTTTATTTAAGGTTGTCGTTGCATGCACAGAATTTTCAGTATATATTATTTGTTACAGTACTCTACTTGCCTTTGTAGGACTTGCAAGAAATTAAGAAAGAGCTTTCAAAGACTGGCCAGGAGATGGTGGTGGAAGAATCGAAAGCGAGCAAGAGATTGACTAAAAGGGTAAACCGTATGATTGGGCAAATTGGCAAGATTATTACAGAGCTGGAAAATGAGGAAAAAGTGTTTGATGGGCACATAGCAGGAGAGTCTGTTCCTCCTGTTGGGTAAGTGTATACTGTCTTTGCACATTGTGTGAATCCTCATCAATCAGAGGCAAGTGTAGTTTTTATGTGCACAGATCTGTTACTAACAAGAAGAGGCTAGAATTCTTCATCTTTTAAGTCTGTGCCAGATTTCAGATGCTTAATGCTATGTTCTCAATGTCACGCTTGCAAATGAGCATGTGAGGGTTAATCCAGGCTGGAGCTTGACTCTGTTTTAACCACTGGACAACCTGTTATTCATATAAAACAAGGCGAATCGACTTTACCTTCGACTTTAATATGCATGGCAACTGTACAGGTTTTCTTGTACTGCTTCATTACATTTCCAAGTGCGGCTTTAGAACATAGAATATGATCAGTTATGTTTTGTCTGTTTTTTTTTTTTGTACAATGGAAGAGTGTTCTCACTTCCTGCCTTTAGTGCTTATAACTAGGGCTGAGCATAAGTTATGGAGAAGGAGTAGGACAAATTACATTTAAAGCATCACATTATTGTCCGTAAAAAATTGTTTCTAAAACATTTTTGTTTTAAAAAACAAACAAAAAAAAAAAAAACACATAAACAAAAAAAAACCCAGCACAGCATTTCCATTAAATTCGGTTATCAGGCAAGTCCTTGTTGTAACAGCTATGGCCGTTTAGTGCCAGTAATGAGTCTGTGGTCTTCCGTCCATCTGACTTGCCACTAATCTGTATATTGTCCATGTTACTCAGTATAATGTGAAGTGTCAGGAATAAAAGACTTTTTAGGCCAGAATAGTCATATCAGAAAATTTGAAGTCTGCCAACAAGTTTATTTTGTAAACTCTGATTTGATCAGACTTAGAATATGAAAGGAGCAATAAATGCTAAAATAATATAGTTTATTAAACAACCCTAAATGTCTTCACTTTTCTATTCTGGCCAAAAATCTAATGTTTACTTTGACTTGGTAACAATTTACTCTTTAGTGACTATACAATTCCTAAGTAGGTTGGGCAAGTTCTCTTATTGACTTCACTTTGTTAGAGCTAGACATGTTCTGCAACGTATGGCTTCATTCAAGAAAAACCATGAATGAAGCCACGTAGCAAGCCTAAACAAGCTGCGCTACAATGGTTAATGGCCAGCGCTTCCATTGAAACCAATGAGAGACCTAGCAATCTTCTCTTACAATCAGACCAGGGAAATTCAGAGGCATTTATGGTCTTGGTGACAAAACATGAATTTGGTACCTCCTGCTTTTTGTCAAGTGTAGAAAAACTACAAAGACAAAGTAGTCCGTACTTTGAAAAATTGCATTTCTATGAAGGCCAAAAAGTCTTTAGTTTTATCTCAATAAGCATGAAAGCAACTCCAGCTTGCTGCTAAGATATAAATATTTTTTTGTGTTTTCTGGCAATGTTCCACCTTGAATTTATAATAAAATTCTGCTTACAAGTTTGCAAGTTTGCTTACAAGTTTGCACATTGTGTGTGCAGTTTGTATGTCTGTTTGAATAATCTTGCATTTCTGTTTGTAGTCAAAATCCATATAAAACATGTGTTTGCAGTGGTTTATTTTGCTTTATGTACATTAATGCAATCACTTCCAGGTCCATGTAACCACCATGAGAGGTTCCCTGGCTTAATTGCTACTACCAACCTCCCCTTAAACTCTTCTGCTTGCTCTGTCTCCTCATTTTAACTCCTTAACTGTTTGCTGTACACAGATTGTATTTCGCCTTTAGGGAAAACCTTGTCAGCATCCATGAACTCATCAACATCATGAGGCACATCCAGAAGATTCCAGAGCAGAAATTATTAAGAATTGCTGCAGCTCTTGATGAAAACAAGGATGGGAAAATCGATATTGATGATGTAGCCAAGGTAAGTGCTGTTAAAAGGGTGTTGGAATATAGATCCAGAAAAGGCCTGTATTGTAATGTGGAATTGAATCCTGTCATTATTTTGATTATGTTTATTAAAGTGATGAAACAAATTTGTCTAAGAAAAGAAGCTGAAAGGAACTATTTTCTGCCAGTTTTTGGAGAAATTCCAATTTCAAGCTCTCATATTTATAATTGTGGAAAAAATTCAGCCAGATTTCTAGTGTAAAAAATCCTGGAAATATTCCTAAATCCATTGCATTGGCGAAAAATTTGACAAGGCACAATTAAAAAAAAATAAAAAAAATTGCACCAAACTTTCACAGAAAACTAGACCGGAAAGTGTCTGCAACACTGACAGGTCACTCACCATGTTTTTAATGGACAGGAGAAAGATTTCACATCTAAAAACAACTAATCGTGTGTGGCAAGCACTAAACATACTAAAATATAGCAGCTTAAACACTTGTGCAGAGCACCTTCCCCCTGCACAAATAAACAAAGACCCAATACAAATATTATAAGTGAATAAATGCCAATAATAGTGGAGTGCTAAAAACAAATAAACAAGGGCTGTCTTACCCTCTTGTACACATAATTAAATAGGCAAGTCAAACAAGCAGCAGATGTAAAACAAGAACAGGGACACGAAAAGATAGTGCAGATGGTATGGTACACTGTGGGGTCACAATAGTGATAACCAGTAAACATAAGTAAAAATAGCCTTCTAAACGCGTTTTGCCACGCAGCTTCTTCAGTTTGCAGTAGGCAACTTTTGCTGATATTTACTGGTTATCACAGTTATATGCATTGGGATGCTTAGGCTCTTACAAGGTAAGCAAGTCATTACACCTTAAACCACTGTCAAGTTTTATTTACCCCAGTCGTCACTAGTAACAGCTGAGGGGGGAAAAGACTGTCTGTGGAAGCTCCTGCGCTCTCATGGGATCCTGCATAGACCTCAGTTTTGTATTCTCTGACATACGCAAGAGTACAACACTGATGTGGACTCCTAGCGGATGCAACCAGCTGCTGAGAGGACCAGCAGGACAGGCTGCGCGGGACAGGTTCCGGCATGTGAAATGCACCTTCCATGCACCCTGCTGCCAATATACAATATATTGAGACAAAAATCACATGTTTCTAACCCTGCACTCTGTTGTCTGCATCTGCTGCAAAGAGTGATGCTTTGTTCCGGTTTCCCCCTGCCAAAAAACCCCAAAACAAACCCTTATAAAGCTTGAGAACAAGGTGAAAAAGACATTCTCAATACAACTCTACATTATAAATTGTGTGTCTTGAAGTGCACTACAATTAAATAAAGAAGGTAATACAGATAAACAAATACAAGGAAGAGTAATGTAGTAGGGGAGATTTAATACTAAGCAGGTATCCACAATAAACCCGTTACCACTTCTTTTCACCATATAGAAAACAATTTTCTAGAATGTCTTAAAGTTTTGAAGGGCAGTAAGATTTTTAGGTACTACCAGAGCATAAGTTGAATTTTTGAAATAAAAATATTTGCATAATTGTTGCCCAGTGGTTATATGTTCACTGGGAGTTTAGTGGTGTAGCTATAATACAGTGCAAAGCCTAGGGGCGGGGACTAGATCCTCTGCTTTAATTTCTATTCTAGGCCTGCCTACCCACCCAGATCAACAGGAGCGACAATTACATATTTATGTGCAGCCACATGGGCTATGGAAATGGAAGTCTATTCTAAGCATAATTGTTTAACTTATGTAGTGTGTTTTTTTTTTTTTTTTTTACAAGCTGGGTGTTGGGTTATAGGGCTCCCTGCGCTAATGTTACTTCCTACATCATGGGAATCCTTTTCACAAGGAGTTAGAGGACTTTTCTTACTCCAAATAGAATGTAAGCTCGTTTGAGCAGGGTCCTCTTCAACCTATTGTTCTTGTAAGTTTTTTTTTGTTATTGTCCTATTTATAGTTAAATTCCCCTCATAATATTGTAAAGCTCTACAGAATCTGTTGGTGCTATATAAATGGCAATAATAATAATAATAATAATAACATAGAAAAGTAGATTTTGGTCTGTGTGGCATTTGTGAAAGAACCATGACAACTGCAGCTGATCACCTGGCTCCAGTATAAACATAAACATCTGCTTTATACGACAGCATTTTTTTTAACATGTGAAATTTCTAAAATTAAAATAAATGTTTTGCAAAGGTGCAAATACCGGTCATTTACAATTCTTTAATCTCGTTTTCTAACTAGCTTGTGGAATTAATTGACAAAGAAGACATAGACATCACTACCAACCAGGTTGCTGAGATCATGGAACTTCTGCAGAAAGAAGAAAAGCTGGTTGAGAAAGAGAAGGCGAAAGAAAAGGCCGAGAAGGACCAAGCAGCAGAACTTCAAAATTAACGCATCTAATTCACATCCTGCCCAGCCCAGTGCATTATTCTTGCAGCTGCTACCATGCCCCAAATTTATAATGCTTCTGCGATGATTTCATTGCCAAGCTACATCAATGTACACTATGTTACGGAGTGAAATAAAGACTTCCATTATCAAGCAAGTCATTTACTGTCATTCCATCGCTGTCTGCATTTTAGGAAGGCAGAGTACCTGCCCAAGTGCATTTGTTCTCCCAGCTGTGGGGTAAGCTTTTGGTCAGGGGTAGCCTACAGGTTGATCTACAGCTGTTGCAGAAACTCAACTCCCATGATGCTTTGCCACTTTGGCAGTCAATAGACCTTCATATGTGCACACTCATGACATTTGTGGCGGTACATGTGTGTGCATATATGGATATAGAGCAATATAAACTTGTAACAAACAATATATAGCTACATGTGTTATTGATTTTTTTTTTTTAAATTTTTGTTTATTTAAAAAAAAAAAAATTTTTTTTTGCACTGATATATAAATGAAAAGCTTCTAATGTTTGGATTGTAAATTATATCTTAATGCCTTGGAATATTTTTTTTTTCCCTTAACAATAATAAAATCATCCATCCATTTTTTAATTTATATAAATATATATTCAGAAAACATTGTTTTGGTATTGGCGTAGCCACAATAATGATTATAATATGATTTGTGTTCTGATTCTACAGCAGTGTTTTATTGTATTTTAAAATTGCTGTGGTTTTTTTTGTTTTTTTTTACTTGAACTTTAATTTAAAGTCATGCTGTTGCCTTTGTGGCAAAGAATGTATAATTATGGTTTAATGCTTTTGTTTTTGTGTGGTTTTCATTTTTGTTTATTTTTTTTATATAAATGCCTTCATGCCTAGCGTGGGGGAAAAGCAACTCCTATTGCTATAAAAATATAACTGGTGCTGTAGGGCTCATAAAAACAGGAATGTATTATTTCATTGCTTTTTGTTTCTTTGTGTTACAAAACATTCATAAAAGATCTTTTACTTGATTTACTACTCGTTATAGCGCTTACTGCATATTACACATACTTATATGTGTAGTATTGATAGCATTTAAAGTGAGCCTCTCCATATCTTCAGGTTCCCTACTAAGCTCTGTCATCATGTAAGGTTTGTGTGCTATGGAAGATAATCGTAAAGTGAGCCGTACCAATTTTATGCTATTTATTCTCAATGGTTGTTTTTTTTTTTTTTTTAAGCATCAGAGAAGCTTTTATTCAAAATAACCTGCCTTTCAGCTTCCTTTTTTTTTTCGAACTTGATAGACATGATATTAGTTTGCATAAAAAGCAACTCAAAGGCTGCCAGAATAATCACGGAGGATAATTAGCTTAACATTTTAAGGCTTTTGATTTCTTTCCCCCATTTTGATCAAGATAGCATAAAAACTTGGAGCCTGGTGTGTCATTAAATATGGGCTTTATTTATACACCGTTGAAAACTAGTGTTTGATTTTCATGTGAACTTTTATGGTTGCTTTTGATCAACAAAGCATTTGTCTGTAAACCAAATTCACAGAATGTTCTTGTAAAGGAATGGTAATGCATTTTCTTTCCTCTTTAAGAACTATTTAAATACCTACACATCACGTGTAAAAACAAACTTGTTTTGGAGGTATTGAGCCCCCGGTAGGGAGCCTGTATCGTCTTGATAAGATCATGCTTCTCCCATGCCCTCCACATTCACACACTATTTGTATATAAGCAGCTGGTAGTAGAACACTCTGTGACAGCCAGACAGCTGCCAAAAAATGTGTGAACATTTTTTATTTTTTTATTTTAAAGTTACTCTTTGATTGCTGGACAGCTAAACAATTTCCTATATTACACTGCTTGCCTCGGCGTCACACAAAGGTTTGACGCCTTGTAGAATGCAGGATAATTTTTCCCCCAAACAAAAAAAATAGGATATGCTTAAAAGAAAAAAAAATATTCTTTCTTTTTAATGCAAGATAAATATTGTTGTTTTTACTATTCTTATTATAGTAGAATGTAGTCATGCTATAAACTTTTGTTAGAATTTGTAATCTTGTCTGTTGTCAACTATTCTTAAACAGAGGCCAGTATAGAGGGCAGGGGTAGAATCCTGTAGGGGTTTTATGGTCAAGAGAGTCTTGTGATAAAACCACCATTCAGGGTCATTTGTGCTGTAGTCTATATTGTAGATATTGGTAGCAATATGTCTTGCTTTAAATACATTTTCTTTTGTTTTCTAAAAAATATATATTGATATTGGGGTGTATTTTAAACAGACCTAAAACAAATACCTGTTTAACCTGAATGGCAGAGGGTCGAGTATAGCATTCTTCGTAGTACACAAAGGGTTGGACTATAGAAAATATAAAGCTAGTATGCTTAGTTATAAACCTATGAATTCATTAACTTTTATGTAAAACATATATAGAATAATGTTCTGATTTATAAAGTAGCAAAGCATCTCCAGATCATTGTAGGATATTTTGGACTAAATACTTTCTACCAAAGTTTGCGTATCTCCTCTTTTCTGATGAGTTTATTCAGAAATTATTTTAATGGGAAGTAAAGGAAACAAGGGTTTGTAACCTAAAATGCACAATCCTTTCACTTCAAGGCACTGGGCATAGACAATACGATTGCAACTGTTGATCTGGTATGGTGGTTAGGTATTTGATTGTCCCATACTTTGAAGTGGTTATAAAGGGGATTATTCCAAGGAGAACTTCAGATAGCACCAGACACTCTTAATGTATTTTTTCATAATGTAGTGATGATAAAGATTGTAACAGTGGGTCCTTAGACTGATGTCTGAGATTTGGGTATAACCCTTTGAGTGCCACGCTGCTCTGCTCACCTCTACAGCAATCCTATTGTGCTTTGTATTGTAGCACTAAATAAACATTGATTGTGTTGTAATGACCACTGTAATTATATATTCTTTTAAGAGCATTCACTTAATATCAAGTGTTAATTGAAATAAATTTGTTTGCTATTGATCTCCTTAACGTTAAATTTTTTTATTTGCTTGATTTCAGATGTTTTTGCGGGTATTAATAAAAATGTTAAATGTGGCTTTCATTTCTGTTTTGCCTCAACATGCTTTGTTTAATGCTCCAAATGTATCATTCAATGTTCATTCACTTTAAGCAAAGGCATAACAATACTAAAGACAACATTCTAGCAGTCTTCACTGTCTAGCTCTTATTTCCATATGTTTGACTGTGCAATAATATGAAAATATACATCTTCAGCCCCTATGAAAGAGGGAACAAATATGCAATACTTTATTTTGAAATAGAACTAGCCTTTGTTGACTAGTCCTTAAACATGGGGTGAAAAATCATAAAATTATAAACAAAATACATAATGTGAAGAACAAGAAACATAATAATGCCTCAAACATAACATAATTACAATTCTCCAAGCTATGGGAAAACAGGGATATATCCTCCTGGGAACCGATGAACCATGTGCTTGCTGTTATACCAATCCATTTTTGATGAAAAGTAAGATGAAGTTCCCAGCATCCCAGCCTATCACATGGCATATCAGTGGAAAGCCCAGAATGTCCTCTTTACAATACAGGAGGGATTGATAAAGTAGCTCAAAAGAAGAACAGGAGATGTGTGTGAACGAAATGTCCAGTACAGAGGACACAAGTTAATGGGCTGGGTCTCAGGAGGAAATAGATTCAAGTTGTCAGTTTTCATAGTATCCGAATTTGCATATTGTGATTATGCCGACAATGCAATGTAGGGCAAGTTCCTCAGGAACACCAGTTTGATTGCATGATTGCACACACAAAAAAAGATACAAATGATTACACTTTCATCACTACACCACACCACACCACACCACACCACACATACTCCAGAACAGACTATTTGCTACTACTAGTCATTAGACAATATAAAAGAAGCTTCACTAAATTATGTAGCCTCATGCTTATTATAGTCCAAAATACTTTATTTAAATTTTTTTATGAAATATCCAATGAAATAGACACTATCTAAGCAAAAGCCATCAAAACCCCATCAGGCAAAGGCTTTATGTCCACTCTAGAGGCAATTATTAAGATATTTACCAATTTCTTTACCTCCTTATACATCCATTCCCCTTAGAATACAAACACCAATCCGGGTTATCTAGAACAAATTAGAGGTTGTCTCATGTCATTGACCTTCCCTTAATTGACCACTAGCCATATCGACATCATGGACTCACCATTACAAGAAATTCTATATGTAAGGCCACATCTGCCATAAGGGGTAATAAAGCTCCCGGTCCCAACGGATTTCACAGGAATAACTACATGACACTTGACAAGACAGATGAATTGGTTCTCCCCCACAGAATGTCACTTCAACGACTTTACTAACATTGGGACTCCTAACCATTATATGTCCTTAGCTAATATATTAATTCCCAAAATGGGGTGCAACAACACTCAAGCAGGTAACTATAGAGCTATTTCCCTAATTAACTTTGAAATCTCAGCAAAAATTCCAAGTCTAAATTCAATACTTGCCGGACTGGTGCACCCTAACCAAGTAGGCTTCACCAGGGAAACAACTCTGAGAATACTCAAAGAAATATATATTTTGTGTGGTACCTTGTAGAATCTGGGACTCCTTCTCTGGCTATCTCTTTGGACATAGGGAAGGCGTTTAACAGCATTGAGTGGCCACTCTTGTTTGAGCTCCTGGATTATCTGGGCTTCCTGCCAACAAATATTGCAGCAGTCAGAGTACTATACTAATTTAAGAGCCCAGACAATAGCAGGATCTAGAACAAAGCCATTTAATATAGGGAATGGAACTAGGCAGAGATGTCCTTTGTCGCCTCTTTTATTCACTTTGACACTTGAACCAATATTGCATTCAATCTGCAAAAATCTTGAGATATCTGGGGTGAGCATAGCAGGCAACTCTTTAAATGTCTCAGCATATGCAGTCGTTTGTTAACCATTCTAGCAACCCACTTACCTCTAAGCATTACTTGAACTTGGGCCTGTACAGATTTGAAAACGTAGAAAGGTCCAGGTACTCCAAAGTTCAACAAAAGGCAATTTATTAAACCCACAGCCACATCACAGCATTTTGACCTACATGGTCTTTATCAAGTTATCACATACAAATACAACACATAATTTATAGGTATCAATATCACCAAATAAATCAATAAAAAAATATAATTAGTTGTCACTTACCCACCAATGACAGATGTCAGCTCTGTTGAGAAATGTAAACCCAATAGAAGGCTTCCAACACAATAAGTTTGTAATCCCAGGTTAAACAGAGACTGATTAACTGGTAACATAAGGCAGTATCAAGCCGAAACCGACACTTCCGCATCACGCGTACCATCAGCGTGATGATGCCTGACGTCCCGGGATAGCACGAACAACATCAGCATGATGACGTCTTACATCCCGGTTTCAATTGCGCAAGAAAATCGGCAGTACACAATTGAGCATGCGTAATTGGCAGGGCACAAGTGCCAAGCAAGATACCTCTACAAAATAAAAAATATACATGGTACAATACACATGGCACACGCATGGGATTGAGTGCAGTTCCACACTGTTTTCTATTTACAGATTTGGAGACATATCTGGATACAGGGTCAACCTTAATAAATCCATAGGTATGCCTATACTGGTAACAGCTGAGGAGATAACATAGATAAGAGAGCTGTACAAAATCAATATTGCCAAGAATCTTTCATATACTTGGGGATAAATATTACCGCCAATCTTGTCCTTAAAATAGAGACTTGGACAATTGGACTGAAAAACCTATATCGTAGATTGGAAGAATACATGTAATTAAAATTAATATAATGCCATGGATCCCAGGTAGCAAGAGTGATCTTATCAATCGCTAAGTTGTAATCAACAACTTTATTTGAAGAAATAAAATAGCACATCATTTCTTATACAGACCAAAACCCGCAGGGGCGTCTGGGACTACTTGGCCTATTCCTATACTACCTTTCCTCCCACTTGGCCCAGATTGTGACTTGGAATCTGCCTCTGGACCAGATTATGTGGGTGGACATGGAATCTCTCCTTACAGGAGCTGATTTTCCCAGGTCTATGTATGGGTTCCACAAAATAACAGAGCAATATTACGTACAGCAATATTAAACTCAATCCATATTTGGGATACCTACGCAACTAGATATTTCCTCACTAACTTGCCCTCAGTCGTGACCTTTTTCTGATGAAATCAAGATTTTCCTCCTGGAATGGTGTCTAGTGAATTCTGTGGCATTGAATACACAGGGCAAAGACAAAAACTGGGTCATCTTTACCCAGTCAACAAACTTAATGCTTTTACTGAACTACAGACCAGGGCTAGACTCAGCCCAGAGGACTACGTTAGGTATGATCAACTGTCCAACTGCAGGATATTGCGTCCCAAGGAAAAAAAATAATCGTGTATATTACAATCCCCCACAGCCTTTGGCTCTGCATTACAAAAAAACCCACGAAAAGGCTTAATTTCACAACTATATAACCCATGTGCAAACTCCCAAGTATTGGGAAAAATTTAAATATATTGCAGAGGGAGATAGAAGAGCTGTTAAAGGGCTCAAGACCGGAAGCAGATATGGGAGACAAATGCCTCAATATGTGACCTTACAAGAACAATCCTTTAAAACACTACTACGATGGTATACGATGCCGGTTAAATTGTTTCATTTGATAAAGATGGATTTGGATCTGTACTGGAGAATGTGTGAAGAAAGAGGCTCGTATCATGACATGTGGTGGACATGCCCACAAGTGATAACATTCTGGGAGGAATGATTAGAATGTTATCACTTGTCCTGATCAGAATCTTCCACAGGCTCATTCAGAAACAGTTAGACTACTTATAGTGTGGGAAGGGGAGGGGGGCTGCATGGCACTACTGGCACCATAACCACTACAGACTGCTGTAAAAACAGTATCATATGTCTCTGTGTATAAATTTCCCTTCAATATTCATGTTATTGATGTATTTTTTGGGTGGATTCATTTGTTGCTAGTGATGTCGCGAACCGTTCGCGAACTTGCCGCGAACTCCGGTCAGCTGACACATCCCTGCCAATCTCCGGCAGACCCTCCCTCCCAGACCCTCCTACTTCCTGGACAGCATCCATGTTGAAGGCAGCTTCAACATGGATGCTGTCCAGGAGGAGGGAGGGTCTGCCGGAGATTGGCAGGGATGTGTCAGCTGACCGGAGTTCGCTATGAACGGTTCGTGGCGAACCATGGCGAACGGTTTGCTGCAAGTTCGCGAACGGTTCGCGACATCACTATTTGTTACTATTTTGGTTGATCTACTTTTTAATTGTATTTGATTTAATAAATGTCCTTCCTTGATTTATGTGTATCCGTATAGAGTAGTTAGATTATCAATATAGTAAAGCATATATGATTTAATGGAAAAAAAGATTTTTGGCACTTGTTTGATGCGTATGGTAATTTGGTCTTCCTAAACTAGTCTCTTCCTAACTGCTGTAAGTGGATACTGTATAGGAAAGGGGGTGCATGGAAGCAGCGCCTTCAAAATTTCCTCAAATCCAAGTAGGAGTCATTATTAAAGCCCCATTTTTATTTTTCCCTCTATTTTAACTACCGTACATATTTTTTTTTTTTTAGTTATTACAATTTTTTTTTGTATTTCGGGTACAGTGGTTATATTACATATTCACTTTTTAGGTTCAAAGTCAGCTTCTCCTCTTAATACATGTACATCTTAGTAACTATAACCTTTCGGCTACCCATAATAGAATTTGCCAAACAGTAATTTACAGGAAGTTATTATTTTTTATTTTTTTTGATAATAAACATAGTGTATCTTGAGCTTTAATCATGATACATTCTTTCATTTGTTGTACATTTCAAGGGGTAGGGTGTACCGATCTCCATGAGTTCCACATCTTTTAAGCAGCAACAGTGGTCTGGGTGTTGAAGTGAGTCTCATATATCTTTTGTTTATCGATTTCCTGTAGTAGGCTAGGGACGGAGGGAGCTAACGGGAGCTAACCAAGTTCTCGCTATTAAGCAGTGGGCCGTCAGCGGAATATCAGGATAGTTTTTGCACCTCCCTGGAAATACTTATTGGCATGTCCAATAGAAGAATTGTATTAGGTTGTAAAGGAACTGAATACTCAGTGATGTCTAGGATTAGTTTCCGGATAGATGTCCAAAAGCAGGCAATCGGTTCACAGTGCCACCAGATATGTAGTACTGTGCCTTTGTGGATCTAAGGTCCATTGTTTTGCTAGTGATGAATCTGTAAATGACAGATATTCTACTACCATTTTGTAACTCATGGAAATCGGTTTACAAACTCTCGTACACAAATTAATTCCCATGAGGTGACATCATGCATACGAGAACTTAAAGGTAAGTTTTGTGGAATACTGAAGGACAAGACAGATTTCAACTGTATGTAAGAATATTGTGAAGTCCCTGGCAAGCCATATTTTTCCTGTAAAGAGGTGAAGTAAACAAATTTCTTTTCAGAGTATAGCTCAGCGAGGAATTTGACGTTACAGTCATTCCAAGACTTGGAGTGGAATGTAGGAATACTGAATCAAAGGCCTGGATGGGGGTCGCTAAGGAAAAGCGACTTGAATTGCTCAAACGGGATCAGTGCATATCCCAAATACGTTGTACCAAATGAATTTGTCAGGACATTTCGCAGGGGAAGTTATTACAATATTTAAAAGTACACTCATATCCCTTTCTAGTCCTCTATTATATATTGTATTTTATTAAAGTTTTATGTTAATTGAATGTTGGTCATATGACTGATGACATCACCTGGCCGTTATTTTTTTAATTGTGAAACTATTTAAACAACATGATATTGTAACACTTTAAGAAAAAGCTTTAATTTTGTCGAAACACGTTAGTGTTTTATTAGTGTTTTATGCTGTATATTGGTTTTATTATTTGTTTCCAATGAAACTAGTGTTTTATTCAATTTGGACCTTCCTGATTTTATCCCTAAAGATTTTATCTGGAGGATTCATTCTTTAAAACACTTTAAACCTATTTTGCTCTCCTTTTGTGAGTATACCAACTTTTATCTTTTTATTATTTTATCAACCCAGACAGCACAATATTCTGTTTTATTTCCATTCCATATACTGGAGAATTTCCTCTGCTACAATACTGCACACTGAAGGAGAACACTCCAAAAAACGCTGATCACACAAAGCTACTTATGGGCCATGGAACATCTCCCAATAAAGGACCAGGACCATCTGCATATCCATAGGCGGGGATTGTACTGTCGAAACGCATATATCTTGAACTGATCATAAGCTCCAAAAATTGTTATATCTCCCATTTATATTCACCAGTAACCCAAATACTACACTGTATTCTGTCCCTTTGTTCTCTTATCTTTGCTACATTCTTACTTGGATTTTAGGACATTCTGAAGGTGCTGCTTCCCTGCACCCTCTTTCTTTTGATATGATTCAATGTATTGTGTGGCACTATGCCCACAACCCTCTCTATAAATGCTCTCTTTCTGAGATACCATTAAACATGGCAGAATTGCAGTCTATGGAAAATCATGTTAATAGGCCGGATGCTCATAAAGACTTTGAAGAGAGTAACTAAATGAAGGTGCTATTTTTTCATTACTTGTTACACTAGGGCAGTGTTTCCCAATTGGAGAACACAAATGGGGTTCCACCAAAATTTTGTAAAACAAAATGGCCGCATGCTCCCCACTGGACCCCAGGGCCCGAACGTCCAGCCGCTCAGCAGCCCCACTGAACCACAGGGACTGCACGTCCAGCTGCTCAGCAGCCCCACTGGACCACAGGTACCGCACGTCCAGCTGCTCAGCAGCCCCACTGAACCACAGGGACCGCACGTCCAGCTGCTCAGCAGCCCCACTGGACCACAGGGACCGCACATCCAGCTGCTCAGCAGCCCCACAGGGACCGCACGTCCAGCTGCTTAGCAGCCCCACTGGACCACAGGGACTGCACGTCCAGCCGCTCAGCAGCCCCACTGAACCACAGGGACTGCACGTCCAGCCGCTCAGCAGCCCCACTGAACCACAGGGACTGCACGTCCAGCCGCTCAGCAGCCCCACTGGACCACAGGGACTGCACGTCCAGCCGCTCAGCAGCCCCACAGGACCACAAGGACTGCACGTCCAGCCGCTCAGCAGCCCCACTGGACCACAGGGACTGCACGTCCAGCCGCTCAGCAGCCCCACTGAACCACAAGGACTGCACGTCCAGCCGCTCAGCAGCCCCACTGAACCACAGGGACTGCACGTCCAGCCGCTCAGCAGCCCCACTGAACCACAGGGACTGCACGTCCAGCCGCTCAGCAGCCCCACTGAACCACAGGGACTGCACGTCCAGCCGCTCAGCAGCCCCACTGGACCACAGGGACTGCACGTCCAGCCGCTCAGCAGCCCCACTGGACCACAGGGACTGCACGTCCAGCCGCTCAGCAGCCCCACAGGACCACAGGGACTGCACGTCCAGCCGCTCAGCAGCCCCACTGAACCACAGGGACTGCACGTCCAGCCGCTCAGCAGCCCCACTGAACCACAGGGACTGCACGTCCAGCCGCTCAGCAGCCCCACTGAACCACAGGGACTGCACGTCCAGCCGCTCAGCAGCCCCACTGAACCACAGGGACTGCACGTCCAGCCGCTCAGCAGCCCCACTGAACCACAGGGACTGCACGTCCAGCCGCTCAGCAGCCCCACTGAACCACAGGGACCGCATGCCCAGCACAGGAAAATTTAATTGGGAACCCCTGCACTAGGGAAAAGAAAGTTAGTGGCTTATGCTGCATGGCAATAGGATGGATTTTACAACAGAAGTATGACGTGTGCAAGGTTAACTCTTTCACGATGATGAATGCCTATGGCATATTTATAGTTCTCCCCCTTTATTAACTCTATTGTTAAGGTTATTTTGGTGAAATGTATTTTGTAAATGACTCCAGAGGAACAGTACTTAAAGATCCCACCAGATGGCGCTCCTCGCATAAATGATATAATTCAGCTTCCGTTCACTTCAAGTTAACTATACATCTCAAAAATAAATAAATAAATAAATATATATATATGTGCTTAACATCAGTAGTCTTCTTTCCTCTAACTCCAACTCTTATTTTCTTCAGCCCCTAAAAAGACCAAATTAAAATACATAATTTGCAACACAACTAATGAAAAAAAAAAAAGATTGCAAAAAACACAACTCAAATATAATCAATCTTTGCCTCATATTGCAGAAACCCCTTATAAGTGATTTCCCACATTATTTAAGCTGTTACATTGAGTGGGATAAGCTCTGGTTGTTCGGCTTATAAGCCAGACAATTAGCGCACTCTGACAGCCAAGTATCACTGCTGATTGGTTGTCAGAGGACACTTACTGATATTGCATAGCGTGGGAAATTAGGAGAATGGCCACTGTGGTCAGAATTTGGTCATTTTTACCTGATTTTGTCCATTTAAATGCAAAAGACAAAACATTCCATTTACCATAAATGACCACTAGATGGGGATTGGAAGCAAATTGTTGAAAACCATTATATGTCTACACAGGGTACAAAAAGCTGTTTGCTTGGCCTCCCATCTATCATTATTTTGTGAAATAATTGTGAAATAAAGAATTACTGTTTTTTAATTCGTAGCTTATAGAGTTTCCTTAATATAAATACTGACCAGATTCCAAAATACCCGATATACTTTCTTGTTTTTCTAAGAGAAATTAAGTTAGCACCACCTCTGTTGAATTACCACCACTTTGAATTACCTAGCATTCTCATTGTACTGAATAACCCTATTGTTGTGGCATGCGCAAACATGTGAGCACCTTCTAAGAAGATAAGCTAGTGATGTCTTTGTAAGTCCTCAGTAATATATGCATGAAATGTTAAAAATTAGAAAAACATGGGGGGCATGGCTAGCTGAGAAATTGAGCAGACATGTATGTGTGGTGCTCTGGCTCCACACACCGAAAAAGAGGCTTTTGTGCCACAAACAGAACCTCGAAAGAGAACCCACAGACGCCTTACTACCTCCAAAGTGTAATGGGGCGCAAAAAGGAAAAAAAAACTTGCCCAGAGAGTGTTAATCACTCTTATATCAGACTCTCCTTCAACCGGCCGCAGGCCCGCAACAAAATGGTGCCGGGGAGGCCACATGGCACAAGTGACTCCAACGATTCCATGGACGAAGAGAGATTGCCACAAACTGCCAGTAAAGTGTACCTGCGGGCTGACTCGGACTCAGACGCTTCTCCCTCCACGAAGGGGGACATCAAGAAACTCCTATAGGACCTATGAGCAGTGTGGAAGGCAGACCTAGCGGAGGTGCAGACAGAAATTGGCGGGCTGCGGCAGCGGATCGAGGCAACGGAATCCAGAGAGGAAACTCGGGAGCAGCGCTTGACTGACACCCACTCCCAAGTGGAAGCCCTCACACAACAGGTCCAAAGCCTCTCCCGCATGGTGGCATCACTGGAGGCAAGATACCGCCGGAAAAATTTTGGATCCGGGGAGCACCGGAAACAGTGAGCCCAGAAGCCCTACCAGACTTCGCCTACAAGGTGACACAAGCAATGGGGGTCAGAGAGGCAGGAGACTCACCGCACATGGCAGCCTTCAGAATAAGGAAGGCACTGACCGCCCCAGCGGACGCATCCAGAGACATCATCGTGGTAACCCGGGACACAACAGTGAAATAAGCCATTATGGCCTTTTCCAGGAATTGCCCCAGCATACAAGTAGACACCTGCAGGATAACAGTCTACGTGGACTTACCATTCTCAGTCCTGCTGGCCAGACGCAGGTTCCTGCCCATCACCAAACTCCTGAGAGAACACAGTATCAGGTACCGATGGGGTGTCTTGGGAACCCTAGTAGTGCCACGGGGGGGGGTGAGGTCCATGTCCTGTCAGCCTCTGAGGACCCAGCAGACTTTCTGCAGAAACTCCACCTCTTCCCATACTGCCCCCAAGACAACAGAGTGCCGGAACCTGGGGACCCCCGGCAAACAAGTTAACCAAGTTGACAAGGGACACTAGGTCTAGTGCAATGGAAAACAAAGAAACCCCCAGGCTGCAGGGCCCTCCATCCCAATGTGGCCTAAATACAGCAGTGGAATATCCTGGGATCCTTGGTGTCCTGTTGCTGTACAGCTGTGGACAGAACACTAGACTTGTTTTATCTACCACCACTTGTTTTAGGTTTAAAGAGTTTTTGACAGTCTCATAGTACCATAATGATTATAATAGTTATATATTAGCACTACTAAAGTATTGTAAGCACTTATACGTCTCTTACTGATGTAACTACCATTTCACCAACATATACCAATGTTTTATATATGTCACAAAATGCAAACAAATTTCGTGGAACCATCCACACCATAAATAAAGAATTAAAAAAAATAAAATTAGAAAAACGTGAGAGGGACTGGCCATGAAGAATACATAAGCAGTAAGACCCCTACCACAATGTCAGCCTTACATCCTTTCTATATACTTTATAAGCAATTTAACTAGCATTCTATATAGAAGAAAATCTTATTACATACAATATTACACCTTCTCATATTTGGCACGAGCAGTGCCCTAAAGCAAAGATTAACGTCCACTATAATGCCTGAAAGTGTACAGATTATAATGTGCTAGTATAAGTTTCTTTGTTTTTGCTTCAGAATATTAAGATGTTATCATATTACATTTATATGCTGAAACCCATCTCTCTTTATAGTCTTCCAACACTTTTAATCAGTTCCTATATATCAAGTTACATAGGAGGTGGAGACATGTAACAGCACTAGACTCATTACTCACTAAACATATTAGGAAAATATTCAAACATTACAAAAATTTATTTCGAAGAAATGTCATTTCTGGGAGTGTAACTGCCAATGGCTCATGACAATCGAATAGATTAATTCATTAATTGTTTGTGGGAAAATCTCTCCAAGTGATATTTATCTGTTCCAAAGAGCTATCGGCAAGAACTCTTGGCTGTGATTTATTATAGAAAAATGGAGTACATTACAATCCGGTGTTGATAACTTTTTGGCTGAAGTCAAGATTATTAAAGCACTCACAATTCAGATTTCACAAACCATTTATCAGCCAGTACCGACGCTGATGTCAGATAAAGATATCCTCTGAAGACCAGGTCCTACTTACAGTTCCATCATTAATTTTGCAATGTCATCCTCATTATGACAAGGTTAACAACACAAAAAGGACATCATCATGGGGCTTTCAACTACAAAACAGGTTGAATGTTATGGACATTGATATTGCTAATAGATTATAGGTGGTCTTTTTAGCTATACCCCCAATGAAAAATGCATAATTGAAAGCATGCATCTTTTCACTGGGGGTGTGTATACTAAACAGTCATTTTTATTTATCTTTGTATGTGGGCAGTGGAGTGTCCCTTTGAGCCCCTGTAATTGGACATTTAAGGTATTGGGCACAAGCATACTGTTATGTTATCGCTTTTTTATTGTTTTAGTTAGGAGATTATTTGACCTTTAATTGGTGTAATTGATGGATAATCAACATGCTTATACATGTCATTAATTTCAAATAACTTTTTGTGTTATTCATTCTGCTCACAAGCAAAAACGATTTTCTGTGAATATGTCATTTGTTAAAAAAATTCTGCTCAAGTCCTTTAAGGGTTCATTACGCTTTTGATAGTCATAGTAAAGTGCCAATAATAGCTCCTCTCGAGCTGGCTTCTGAAAAGTGATCAGCAAGTACTATTCTAATTGGATACCTTACAATTCCTACAAACCTACTTTTGTCTATAAACATAAATTTTCTCAAAGAATAAGTTCAGAAATTAATTGCCAGCTGTATTAAAGCACCACTATAGTGCCAGGAAAACATACTCATTTTCCTGGCACTTTAGTGCCCTGAGGGTGCTCCAACCCTCAGGGTCCCCCTCCCGCCGGGCTCTGGGGGGAGGAAGGGGTTAAACTTACCTCTTTCTCCAGCGCCGGGCGGGAAGCTCTCCTCCTCCTCTCCGCCTCCTCTCCGGCTGAATGCGCATGCGCGGCTAGAGCCGCACACGCATTCTGCCAGTCCATAGGAAAGCATTCTCAATGCTTTCCTATGGACGTTGGCGTCTTCTCACTGTGAAAATCACAGTGAGAAGCGCGGAAGCCCTCTAGCGGATGTCAATGAGACCGCCACTAGAGGCTGCATTAACCCTTTTATAAACATAGAAGTTTCTCTCAAACTGCTATGTTTATAGAAAAAATGGTTAAACCTAGCTGGACCAGGCACCCAGACCACTTCATTAAGCTGAAGTGGTCTGGGTGCCTATAGTGGTCCTTTAAGCCAGTACCAAAACAGTACATACCCAATTATTAGAAAAGAAAAGGATAAATAATTCAATCTATAGTGAAGGAATAATATTATTTTATCCAACATACACTTTCTGTTTCTTATTTAATATTTGAATTCCTTTTATTTATTTTTTTAAATATCCTGTTGAGTCACATGACTGTACGTGAATGATTGCCTATGTAAATATCAAGAGGCATTTTAAGCACTTGAGGTCAAACGGAACACAGAGACATGATTTACAAGATATTATTTGAATTCATGTACAAACTTAGCAGGGAGACTGTATTGGGTTAATGTAATGTGAATGAATTCAGTCTTGTGTTCTCAATGAAGTCTGTCTACTTACACTTACACGCCGGACCTACTGGCTAATCGAAAAGACTGTTTTTA